TATAATAGCCTACTCCGACATCGAGTGCAAAGTGGGGAGTTGAAAAAAAAAACGTACGGTGCTCTCGTCTCATCTGCTGCTGCAGCTCTCTTCTCTTCAAATGCCGGAGCATTGCCGCAGTGCTGGAGGGAAAAGCCATGTCCATTTCCCAGCCCTAGTTATAACAAAATATCCAAATCTTTGATGATCCCCAGGAGCACCATCAAATCTATCATAACCAAATGGAAAGGACATGGCACAACAGCAAACCTGCCAAGAGACGGCCGCCCACCAAAACTCACGGACCGGGCAAAGAGGGCATTAATCAGAGAGGCAGCACAGAGACCTAAGGTAACCCTGGAGGAGCTGCAGAGTTCCACAGCAGAGACTGGAGGATCTGTACATAGGACCACAATAAGCCGTACGCTCCATAGAGTTGGGCTTTATGGCAGAGCGGCCAGAAGAAAGCCATTACTTTCAGCAAAAAACAAAATGGCAAAATGGCATGTGGGAGACTCCCAAAATTAGATGTGCAACGATTCATCACTGATCCGTCTTCGGTTCGGTACAGACACCGCGTGGTCACGGCGAGCGGAGGAACGGAGAAGCCGGCGTCATTTAAATCCCCTGTATGGGAGCATTTTGGCTTCACTGTAACTTTACTGATGATTAAAGAGTCGACAAAACTGTTACGGTGTAAACACTGAGGCACAAGAAAGACACGAGTGGAAAAAAGCTTCTCAACAACCGCTTATTGCCGCGGCGTTTAAGCATTTCCTTTATGCACAGTCAGACCGGGCTAAAGTCAACTCTCACGACTGACGCTTGGACGTCCAGCAGAACCTATAATAGATCCATGAGCGGAACAGAGACCTACGATACCCGCTCACTTCATCACCGCAGACTGGGAGATGAAGAGTCCGGTGCTGCAGACACGCCCCCTCTACCAAAGTCACACAGGCACACAGCACAGACTGACACACAACACAGGTCCTGACACACAACACAGGTACTGACACACAGCGCAGGTACTGACACACAACACCAGTCCTGACACACAACACAGGCACTGACACACAGCACAGGCACTGACACACAGCGCAGGTACTGACACACAGCGCAGGTACTGACACACAACACAGGTCCTGACACACAGCGCAGGTACTGACACACAGCGCAGGTACTGACACACAGCGCAGGTACTGACACACAGCGCAGGTACTGACACACAGCACAGGCACTGACACACAGCGCAGGTACTGACACACAGCGCAGGTACTGACACACAGCGCAGGTACTGACACACAACACAGGTCCTGACACACAGCGCAGGTACTGACACACAGCGCAGGTACTGACACACAGCGCAGGTACTGACACACAACACAGGTACTGACACACAACACAGGTCCTGACACACAGCGCAGGTACTGACACAAGCAATCAATCCAATAGAAAATCTGTGGTCAGACTTAAAGATTGCTGTTCATAAGCGCAAACCATCCAACTTGAAGGAGCTGGAGCAGTTTAGCAAGGAGGAATAGGCAAACATCCCAGTGGTAAGATGTGGCAAGCTCATAGATCCACAAAGTATTGACTTTAGGGGGGTGAATACATGCCAATTTCCAGTTTTTTATTTCTGAAAAATAGTTTTATGTAAATACTTTTCTCAATTCACTTCACCAACTTAGACTATTGTTTTCTGATCCATCACATGAAATTCAGATTAAAAAACATTTCCAACAACCTTTAAAAAACTAAAGGCTGTAATGTAACAAAATAGGTAAAAAGCCAAGGGGGGTGAATACTTTTGCAAGGCACTGTATGTAATTGTCTGTGTGTCTCTTCTGTTTTGTTGTCATTCACCTTTTAAGAATAAGGGTTTATCTTTTATATATTTATAAGTCCTTGTGTGACGGTACAATAGTTCACAAACCTTTAATATCCCACTTGTCATGAGGGATACCTGACTGGCACCCCGATAAAACCCAAACCCCAAATAACAACTACACTACCACCATATCCCCCAAACCTACAAACCGTTACAATGTCACTAATATATTTTGGTGCGAGGCCATGGAGAGACTTGTAACAAGCAGAGCCGTTTTAAAATCTATTCTCTGAGCCACAGGAAGCCAGTGCAGAGACCTGAGGACCGGACTAATGTGGTCGTACTTCCTGGTTCTAGTCAGGACTAATGTGGTCGTACTTCCTGGTTCTAGTCAGGACTAATGTGGTCGTACTTCCTGGTTCTAGTCAGGACTGGAGCTGCTGCATTTTGAATGTACTGCAGCTGTTTTACAGCCTGTTTGGACAGACCTGTGAGCAGGCCATTGCAGTAGTCTAACCTACTGGAGACAAATGCATGGATAAGAATCTCCAGGTCTGCTTTAGACACTATGTTTTTGATCCTGGCAATGTTTTTTAGATGGTAAAAAGCTTCTGATGTTACTGATCTGATGTGGCTATTAAAATTTAATATTAAAAAAGTCCGAGTCCAGTATTACCCCTAGATTTCTGACCTTGTTTGAAGGTTTTAGGGAGAGAGACTGTAGGTGACAGATGACGCTCTCTCTTTGTTTCTGGCGACCAAAGACAATCATTTCAGTTTTGTCTGCGTTTAGCTGAAGGAAGTTGTTTTGCATCCACTCACTGATCTGTTGGATACAGTGAAGGAGTGAGTCCACTGGTCCATGTTCTCCTGCAGTCAGTGAGACATAGATCTGAGTGTCGTCTGCATAGTTATGATAGGACACTTTGTTTCTGCGTATTAACTGACCTAACGGCAGCATGTAGAGATTGAACAGAAGAGGTCCCAGGATCGACCCCTGTGGGACTCCACAGGTCAGGGCCATATGATCTGAGACACAGTCTCCAATCTCCACAAAGTACTTCCTGTCTTCAAGGTAAGACCTAAACCAACTTAGGGCGGTGCCAGCGACGCCAACCCAGTCCTCTAGTCTCTGTAAGAGGATCTCATGGTCGACAGTGTCAAAGGCAGCACTCAGATCTAACAAGATTAAGATTGAGACTTGCGTCAGTGTTCAGCCGGATATTGTTTGTAACCTTGACGAGAGCAGTCTCAGTGCTGTGGTGGGGTCTAAAGCTGGACTGAAACATGTCAAATGAGTTGTTGATTATAAGAAATCTAGTAAGCTGTAGGTAGACAACTTTTCCAAGGACTTTCCCCATAAATGGCAGATTTGAGATGGGACGATAGTTGTTAAGTACCGTAGCATCGAGACTGCTCTTTTTTAGCAGGGGCCTGATGACTACAGTTTTCAGGGCCTTTGGGAATATTTCAGAGTTAAGGGACATGTTTACTATCTGTGTGAGTGAAGGTAACAGGCTGCTCAGAACAGACTTCAGAAATCTAGTGGGTAGTACATCCAGGCTGCATGTGGAGGAGCTCAAACTGGAGATTATCTCTTGGACAGTTTGATGATTTACAGGTGCAAAGTGAGTTAGCTCAGAGAGCCTTTCTGACTGTTGGATGGTTATCTGTGGATTGGAGACAATGGCGTTTTTGGTGCCTTTAACCTTGTCATTGAAAACATTTGCAAACTCATTACATTTACGTTTGGGAGTGAGATCTAATGGTAAAGTGAAACAGTAATTCAATACTTTATTCTTTTGTTTGCAGATCTACAAAGCCCATCTACAGAATGGGGTTCACCTGTGATCAGTGTGGAAAGACCTGCAGCTCTGCTTCTGAACTAAAGATCCACTACAGAAGTCACACTGGAGAAAAACCATACGTGTGTGATCAGTGTGGAACAGGTTTTACTGCAAAACAAGGTCTCAAGCGCCACAGCAGAATCCACACTGGAGAAAAGCCCTTCTGCTGTGACGTTTGTGGTCATAGTTTTAGAAATGAGGTTACTCTCAGACAACACCAGAGGATCCACACAGGAGAGAAACCATTTGAGTGTGACGAGTGTGGAAAAACATTTAGGACCAAAGAGAAGCTCTCACTACATCAGCGTGTCCACACAGGAGAGAGACCTCACCAATGTGACCAGTGTGAAAAGTCTTTTATACATTTATTTGACCTCACTCAGCACTACAGAACACACACTGGAGAAAAACCATTCGTCTGTGGAGACTGTGGGAAGGTGTTTGCTCAGGTTTCCGCTTACAAAAGTCATGAGAGAATCCACACTGGAGAAAAACCATTTGCATGTGACTTCTGCAGTAAAACTTTTAGAACTGCTGCACAGCGCACAGTTCACCATCGGAGCCACACTGGAGAGAAGCCGTACAAGTGTGATCAGTGTGGAACATGTTTTACTGCAAAAGGAAGTCTCAAAGATCACAGCAGAATCCACACTGGAGAAAAACCCTTCAGCTGTGACGTCTGTGATCAGAGTTTTACGCAGAGTGGTTCTCTCAAAGTTCATCAGAGGATCCATACTGGAGACAAACCATTCGTCTGTGATCAGTGTGGAACATGCTTTTCCACAAAAGGAGGTCTCAATCAACATAAAAGAATCCGTATTGGAGGAAAACTCTTCCACTGTGACGTTTGTGACAAGAGTTTTTCTCTCAATAGTTCTCTCAAAGATCATAAGAGGATCCACACTGGAGAGAAACCATTTGAGTGTGACGAGTGTGGAAAGTCTTTTAGACAAAGGTCAAATCTGCGTCGACACATAAAAACGTGTGAGAAGCAGGTGTGAAGACGCAGCATCTGGAACAAAGTGAAGGAGACAGAGCTGAGGCTGCATCATGTGAACCCAGAGTCAGACTCTACAGGATCACACTTCAGTCTTAACCAGAGGTGTGGACTCTACTCATGTGACTTGGACTCGGGTCAGACAGGATCACACTTCATTCTTAACCCTGCAGCTGCTTCAGTTTGGAGGCTTTAATAGACTTTATGGTCCATAAAGTACATTAGCATAGATTGATAGTAGCATAAAGTGACAATGGACCATAGCCTCCTGAGGGAGGTTCTGGTCCGATCACTTTCACACTCCTTGACTGTGGCTCCAGCGAACCACACGGTGACGGAGGAGGTGATGGAGGAGGTGATGGAGGAGGTGACGGAGGAGGTGACGGAGGAGGTGATGGAGGAGGTGACGGAGGAGGTGACGGAGGAGGTGACGGAGGAGGTAATGGAGGAGGTGATGGAGGAGGTGATGGCCGTGTAGAACTGCACCAACATCTGCGCAGGCAGCTTGGCTTTCCTGAACAAGAAGTACCTCACACCAGTTGGTCCTCCTCCTCCTATAGGAGACACCAGGACACCAGCTGGTCATCCTCCTCCTGTAGGAGACACCAGGACACCAGCCGGTCCTCCTCCTCCTGTAGGAGACACCAGGATACCAGCTGGTCCTCCTCCTCCTGTAGGAGACACCAGGACACCAGCTGGTCATCCTCCTCCTGTAGGAGACACCAGGACACCAGCCGGTCCTCCTCCTCCTGTAGGAGACACCAGGATACCAGCTGGTCCTCCTCCTCCTGTAGCAGACTCATTGTTACCGGAGATGAGTCCAATGAGGTGGTGTCGTCCGCAAACTTGAGTCCTGGCTGGAGGTGCAGTGGTTGGAGGTGCAGTGGGAGGAGGTGTAGTGGTTGAAGGTGTAGTGGGAGGAGGTGTAGTGGTTGAAGGTGTAGTGGGCTGAAGGTGCAGTGGGCTGAAGGTGCAGTAGGCTGAAGGTGCAGTGGGAGGTGCAGTAGGCTGTGCATGTCTGAGTGAATGCTGGCGTGTTTTGGCTGCCGCTGCTTAGGCGGTGTGCCTAATGTGTGCCTAAAACACCAATCACTGCTTTATTTGTACATCTCAGTAAATATTGAGCCTTTTTGGATGTGTTCTTTCTGTGTTTCTTGAATCTGATTTTTAATGTTAATATGTGTTAGTGCTTGTTTTGCAAAGATGTGTGAAGCACTTTACAAATAAAAAGCTTCTATTTTGATCAAAAAACATTACAGATCATTTTGTGTAAAAATGATTGCTTTTAAAGATATCGTGACAATATTGTTATCGGGAGTTGGTAGAAAAATATCAAGATATTTATTTTTGTCCATATCGCCCACCCCTACCGCTGCTCCATTTGATCCATTTTAAAAGCACTTTGGACACTAAAATACTGCTCAAAAAGGGGATCATAGAACGCACGAATATCCACCTGGAATACAGAAAGTGTCTTGGGGTCTGTGTGTGTTCGCCTCTCTGTTTACCTCTGTTTCCTCGATCAGAGCAGTCACCTGCGACCTGCCCTGCCCAGCTATGTGGATACGCTGGCTTGTTCTCTACTGTTTCGTCCTGGACACTGTTGGTGGTTGGTTGGCGTTGGTGGAAGGTGCTGCCCGTGAATGTGCCTGCATGTCATTCCTTCAAATCTGTTTTAAAACTGTCTGGACACATCCCCACAGTCATCGCCACCATCTTCAGACCACCAAAAGCTAACAAGGATTTAATCACGGACATCACTGCATTTCTGACTCACCTATCCACACTTTCACCCAACGTCATTCTCCTGCAAGATTTTTATATCCACATGGACAAGGCTATTTATCTTATATATAAATATTTTGTGCAATGTGTCAGATTTTCAAAACTGCTCTTTGCTGATGACACATTTGTTTTGTGCCAGCGCAATTTAAGCAAACTCACAACTCAGAACAGAACAGTAACAGATAATACATTTCTGGGAGACATAATTGATCAGTTAAATTGAGTCACATTACATATACAGTCAGGGCTTAAAGTTTTCCGGCACCGTGCCGGAAATCCGGCGTGAGGAAAAAAAAAAAAAAAACATCACTTTTTTTTTTTTTTTTTTTTTTTTTTTAATATATATATAAATAAATAATGATTGCTGTCATTTGAAAAAAGGTTCAAGTGTGTTCTACCAATTGTATGAAAGGATTGCATGTGTATAGCGCAGGGATTAAAGAGTTCCGTCTAAGTGACGGATTTCCGTCAAATGAAATTGGTCTGAAAAAGAAACAAAATATATAATAATAATATAATACACACAATGAAATGGTTAATTATAACAAAATATATAGTAATACGTGTGAATCTGTTGTATATATCTAGATATATATTAATAATTTGAATATAATTGTATTTATATGTATATAGAAATAAAAAGTAATATAATCACGAGTGGGCCTTGAACGTGCCGTGGCTAGCTACATGAGCGCTCCGTAAATGATTCAAGGCAATGGGACGTAGCCAAGTTAGCGATGGTAACACGGAGGTAAAAGTTTCTGAAAAGTGCACGGAGCTTTTGAAAAGGAGAAGAGGACAAGGAAAATGTAATCCCGAACGGAGCAATAACAGCCAGCAGCCCGCGGACCGGTAAACTGGGCGCGTTATCAGAGGAAAGGTAGGACATAATTAACGTTTACCAAACGCAATGCTTTTTTATTTAACGGAATGTACAATATGTACTTTGCTGTGACTGGGAATGGGGACAAGCATGTCTTGGTGAGCTTTTGATAATATCTTGGTGGCGATCCCCATGCAAAACTGCGTGATAAAAAGAGCCAATCAACGAGAGCGAACGGAAGAAACTCGCTGAAGAAAGGTGTGTGTTAGCAGGTCTTATATTCATTCATCAAAGCTAGCCTAGCATGCACGCACAATCACAATCATGGATAATAATGATAATAATAATAATGCATCGGTTTTATATAGCGCTTTTTTGGACACTCAAAGACGCTTCACATGTGTCATTATTCATTCACTCCAAACACGGTGGTGATAAACTACTAATGTAGCCACAGCTGCCCTGGGGCACACTGACAGAAGCGAGGCAACCAGTCTGTGCCATCGGCCCCTCCGATCACCACCAACCATTCACACACACACACCAGACTCATTCTAGGCAATGGGGGTGAAGTGTCTTGCCTAAGGACACAACGGCAGTTTGGCACTTTACAGCCGCAGCCGCCCCACTCGTTGTTTATGGAAGAAGGAGCTGTATAAGTTGCTGTTGATAACGGAGTGAAAAATAAATGGAGGTGGGCATGGCTGGATGAGGTGGAGACGATGGGATTCTGTTGCTTCCTGGTGCAAAAAGATAAAGGTGTCCGGTGCTTGTTCGTACTTCGCTATTACTATTTTTTTATATGGGAGTAATGAGAAAACAGCTTTGGATTCACCACCAGCTCAAAACTGCGCACTTGGCAGCTGTCCGTGCACTTTCCCACACTTCTTTACCTGGTGCATCAGATTCAGCGACAACTGAGACTAGGCTTGCTCTGGTGGACTGTGTCTGTGACCTAAAACTATCTGTGGCTTTATCGCAGAAAATAACCTGTCGTTCAGAACCATCACTACCTATGGTAGATTTAATTATCATTAATCATTTGCAGTTGATAAAACTGCGCTGTGCACTAGCACCAAGTTGATAGGGAAACCTTTTTCTTAAACATTGAGTGTCCACAAACAAATGTGGACAGAATTTTGAATGTCCTTTTGCGATATTTTGACGAGGACAGAGCCAAAGGACAACGCCTCATCTCGCCTCAAGTAAAGCCAATGATGCAGATGAACTACTCTCACTAATATTTTGTCAAAGAGTTGACACAAGTTGCTTGATCCACTGGTTGTAATTTCACATCAAAATACACCAGTTTAAATGTATATCTTTGAAGAATTCGTTTGATCTGTAATTCATTATATTTCCATGAGAAAATTTTCAGTCAAATCTTTTTTTTTTGCTTTAACCCCTGGATGATGTATTTATTGCCAACAACTGATGTTTATAATAAACATCAGTTGTTGGCATTAAATAGATATAAATTATATGTATGAGCGTATAAAGGCGCTTATAAAAAACGCTTATTAGTGATCATTCTATGATTCATATAGATGGTTCAGGCTCAGGAATTTTTTCAACTTTAACCCATGTATACAATAGAAAATATCAAAAAGTATTGCAATCTTATACAAAGCAAACGTTATATTGGACACAAAATCACTACACATTATACTAATCACTCATTTCACCACATTTAGTTACTGTGCTGAGATCCGGGGCAACATCTGCAAAACCACGCTAAATCCACTCTGCATAAAAAGGCAATAAGAATCATCAATGAAGCCGGATACAGAGATCACACAAACACATTATTCATTCAGTCACAGATATCAGAGATTCATGACCTGATTGATCTGCAAACACTTCTAATTTTATTCAGAGCGACACATAAACAGCTGCACACATCCAGGATATGTTTATTGAAAGGGAAGGAAATTCTAATTTAAGAGGATTGGTTTTTTTTCCCATTTAAAAACGTCTGCACCGCATTAAAAATCTTTTGTGTTACCGTCAGTGGAGTAAAAAAATGGAATAAATTGGACGAGGAACTTAAAAAATGTAAAACAATATCTGTCCTCAGTCAGTCCAGGTTCTCTGTCAGGTTCTCTGTCAGCTGAGGTCAAGCTGTTTTAGTTTACATTGAGTTCTAAGGGGAAGATTCTGGGTAGCTCTCGTGAATTTAGTCTGCTGTACCACGGGCGCCCCGAGCACATGGGTCCTTCAGCTATAAGCTAGTAATGCCCTATCCAGTTAGTATTATAGATCCATGAACCACAACAGCAATCATCTTGGAGGTCTATTAGTATTAGATAGCAATATGGCCTACGTGCAGGACTGTACAAGGACTCTACAAGGACTCCATGTTATGACTATGATTTGACTGTCTCTTTGTGACACGTATGTCTTTCGATGTGTGACGTGACAATGACTATATAAACTGTGTACTGCCTTTATTCTGTCTGAGAGAAAGAAACAGAGGAAACCAGTGGAACTTGAGAGAAACTTAAATAAACTTCCAGAGTTTGGCACACCACGATCCGTCTCTCTCTGCCTAAATCCTAACAACAGTCACGGGATTTGGAGCAGTTTCTCTCTGTGCTCCAAAGCAGTTGTCGGTGTCTCACATATTTGCTTCCCCCGCTTCTTCTTCTGTGGTTTCCTGAGCGTGTATCTGCTTCCGCCACTTCTTCTTCTGCGGTTTGGGCCCACTTCTCGCGGGGTCTCAGCTGGTGCGAGCGCCGCCTGTGGTTGGGGCGTGGGGCTGGGGCTTTGAGGCAGAGGCCAGAGCGCGGAGGAAAGGCGCCGACAGACCTGGATAAGGGAGAGGAAAAGGAGACAACAGTAGTCTGCTTCATTTTTTAAAAACCCAACGCCTTGTTTGGGCGCGTACTTAGCATGGAGTTCTGCTCCTAGTGTGAAAGGGTTAGTAGGTGAGAGAGGGCGGTAGGGTGGGGGTGTGGGGGATGTGTATGTGTGTGTGTCCGCCTGTGTGTTCTCCGCTTCGGTGAAAGGCGGAGGAGCTATTGTTTTTACATATTTCTTTCTCTAACCTCTTTTGCCGTGATATTCTTAAAACCAAGTATATTTTTTCTTCCCTTCTTCTTCTAAATTTATCACGCAAGATGCGTAAATGATTCGGAGACATATGGCCTCCATCGGAAAAAAGCCAGATGGCCTGCACCATAGGCAAGCCCTTCATAGCTTGCATCTCTAGATTGATTTTTACCCATTTTCTCGTACGAACAATGGGCCTAACCCGCTTAGTCTCTTCCCTGCTCCTACCCACTTTGGGGCGCTCCGTTCCCCCCCCCGCTGGTTCAACCAGCGAGCGCGCGTTCTTGAAAACGGAGCGGGCCTGGCTGAAGGCACTTGGAGAAATTATCAGGGTCGCCTACAGGGCGATACTAACGCGCAGCCGCTAGCTTCAATCTAGAACAAAAGGACCCCAAAAAATCCCGCACACAGTCTATGCTGTGGCAATGAATGAAATACCCCAAAAATACATAAATAAACAAATCCCCGTGTACACTTAAGTTTGCCCTGGGCTCGTTTACGCAGATGAAAAGACAAAACTCACCAAATTAGGTTCTTTTTTGGTCTTGTGTGGCAAAAGACTCCTTCCATGCGCGGGACGAGCGCGCCCTCCTTTGTCTCCAAATAGAGCAGAGGCTGGTGTTCCAGGTCGGCCAAACAAAGCCGCTCGTCCCCGCCAAAAGTGTCCCATGCCAAGACATGCCAGCAACGCCAAATTGTGGAGGAAGTTTCTATCCAATGAAGGAGAAAACTCAAAGGTCCTTTGTCTGATCAAAAGCGTAAGTTTTATTATACACACAGTGCGGAGAGCTCATGCACACAAAGGCAGCATGCACCAGCTCTGAGCCCAGAGCCCCAAGTTTCCTGTATACAAGACACACACGAAAGACAGTCACGCCCACAACAGATGGGAGGGGGCCACCGGTGAGGAGACGCATAGGGTGGCGCCATCCCCTGTGGTGACAGTGGCCTGGGGGTGTGAACAGACAGAAATGCAGGTCATACAGATGCAAGACGTGAAAGACACAAGGGTGTGACAGACAGCAGGGACCTTCACAAAGCTCAGCATGGCGTCAGAAGGTCGTCTCTGCATTGAGAAGGCCTTTTACGTCTGTGTATTCGCTGCGGCTGGTTTTAATATAATTACTCTAAAAACTGTCATAACAATACCCACAAAAAAAACACATGATTTTTTGGCTAAAAACGTTATATAATCAACTTGGACTGTCATGATTCTGTTTATTGTCTTTCGGTTTATTTAATACCTACAAGTCTCGTGGAAAAAAATATGCGGGAACCACCAAACCTGGCAACCCTGCTGCATAGTGTGTAAACAGGAACACTGAACCAGTGCTTCAACCAAACTTTACAGGAACATTTGACTCTTAAAACACACTTATATGATATATCAACATAGAACCATCAACATAGAACCATCAACATAGAACCATCAACATAGAACCATCAACATCTCGCCTCTAATTGCATTAAAAGTGACATCCGTGTCTTAATTCGATCGTATTTACTCTTTTAAAAAGATTTGCGGACTTTACGTCCGCCATCTTGGATTCCTCTCGCTGCTGCATGAGAGAAGCTTGAGAAGGCAGTGCAAACCCCACGTAACACCGGCAATCCTGATTGGTCAATAAAAAAATAATATGGGGAAGGCGTTCGCTATGGGCTCGATACCAGACCCATGTGGTTCAGCCAAACGCCTCTGGTGGAGCATGGCGGAACTACAAGGGTCTGTATGCTATGACAAATAAGCCCTGAAAACACCTTTTTTTTTTTATTCTAAACTGCATTAAGGAAATTTAGCAGAAATTAATATTAGTGTAAGAGGTACACATAAGTATCATTTATGGATGGCCCTCAGTAGAGGACCCTGTACTCCCGCAGACCCCCCCAAAGGACACCCCGGGGAACACGGTCGAACGCCTTCTCCAAGTCCACAAAGCACATGTGGACAGGTTGGGCGAACTCCCATGAACCCTCGAGTATCCGATGGAGAGTATAGAGCTGGTCCAGTGTTCCGCGGCCGGGACAAAAACCACACTCCTCCTGAATCCGAGATTCGACCATCGGCCGTAGCCTCCTCTCCAATACCTTGGAGTAGACCTTACCAGGGAGGCTGAGGAGTGTGATCCCACAATAATTGGAACACACCCTCCGGTCCCCCTTCTTGTAGAGAGGGACCACCACCCCGGTCTGCCACTCCATTGGTGCCGCCCCCGATTGCCTTGCGATATTGCAGAGACGTGTCAGCCAAGACACTCCTACAACATCCAGAGACTTTAGATAGTCAGGACGGATCTCATCCACTCCCGGAGCCTTGCCACCATGGAGGCTACCAACCACCTTGGTGACCTCAGCCAGGGAGATGGATGTATCCGCCTCAACATCCTCAGCCTTTGCCCCCAATGCAATACAATTTATTCTTGTATAGCCCTAAATCACAACAGAAGTAATCTCAGAGGACTTAATAAAAATAGAACACATGTTGAAAAATGTCCATACTTGTTCTAGAATGTTAAAGTCGTCACGTCCTGGATCATCACCACAGTCCTTCTAGTTGGACACTAACTGCCCAACAGACCCTCCTGCATTGGCAAGGAAAAACTCATAAGAACCCCCCTCCGGTCCAGAGGACGTGACGACGCACCTCTTTACTCTCCGAACTCCTCCCAGTCCCGGGTTTTTGCCTCTGCAACAGCCCGGGCCGCAGCACGCTTGGCCAGCCGGTACTGGACAGCTGCCTCAGGAGTCCCACGAACCATCATTGCTCGATAGGACTCCTTCTTCATCCTGACGCATCCCTTACTGCCGGTGTCCACCACCGGGTTTGGGGTCTGCCGCCGGGACCAGCACCAGAGACCTTGAGAACACAGCTACGAGCTGCAGCATCGGTGATAGATGCGGAGAACATGGTCCACTCAGACTCAATGTCCCCCTCCTCCGCCGGGACCTGGGAGAAGCTCTCCCAGGGAGTTGTGTGAGTTAAAAGTCCGTCTGACAGGGGGCTCAGCGAGACGTTCCCAGCAGACCCTCACTACACGCTTGGGTCTGCCAGGTCTGACCGGCTTCTTCCCCTGCCAGCGGATCCAACTCACGACCAGGTGGTGATTGGTTGACAGCTCCGCCCCTCTCTTTACCCGAGTGTCCGAGACACGCGGTCGAAGGTCAGATGATACGACAACAAAGGGGATCATTGACCTCCGGCCTCAGGTCCTGGTGCCACGTGCACTGATGGACACCCTTGTGCTCAAACATGGTGTTCGTGATGGACAAACTGTGACTGGCACAGAAGTCCAACAACTGAACACCGCTCGGGTTCAGATCAGGGCCGTTCTTCCCGATCACCCCTCTCCAAGTGTCACTGGCATTTCCCACATGGGCGTTGAAGTCCCCCAGGAGAATAACAGAGTCCCCGGGCGGTGCACTGTCCAGTACCCCTCCCAAGGACTCCAAGAATGGCGGGTACTCTGCACTGCTGTTAGGCCCGTAGGGCGTCACAATAGTGAGTGCGACCCTCTCATTCACCGGGGAGAACTCCAACTCGTGGAGCTGAGATGGGGGGCAATGAGAATGGCCACCCCAGCTCGCCGCCTCTCCCTGCGAGAAACACCAGAAAAGTGGAGCGTCCAACCCCTCTCGAGGATTTGGATTGCGGTGCCCGAGCTGTGTGTCACCCCCAGTGAGGTGACGTTCCACGTCCCAAGAGCCAGATGCTGCGTGCGTGGACTGGGTCGTTGAGGTCACCGCCTTCGACTGCTGCCCAGTCCTCTCAGCACCTCTCCACCACGGATCCCTCTGTGGGTGGTGGGTCCAAAGGAGGGCCTGCCCATGTCATCCCTTTGGGCTGAGCCCGGCCGGGCCCCGTGGGCTAAGGCCCACCAGACTCTCGCATACAAGCCCCAACCCCAGGCCTGGCTCCAGGGTGGGGCCCCGGCTGCGCCATGCCGGGCGACGTCACGGTTTTCAATAACATGCTATACATGGTGGGTTTTGGACTGCGCTTCGTCTGACTCATCAGCTGAGACCAGTTTGCCATGGGAGACCCTACCATGAAGCCCCAGACAACATAGCTCCCAGGATCATCAGAGTACTCAAACTCCCTTACCACGTTATGGTGGTAGTCCAGGGGGGCATAATATTCTGTAAAATAATCCATCCATTTTCTTCCCCTTAATCTATTCCTGGGTTGGAAGGTGGCCAGAGATGCCACTCATTACACAGAGCACAGCTCTATGGCATAGCTTTAGTCTTTCAGAGGGGCCTTCAGGCAAAGTGGGATAAAGTGTCTTGCCCAAGGATACAACAACAGCAGACATCAGTGGGAGTTGGTGGAGTAGGTCTTGTGGTGGGCTTGAACCCATGACCTCTAGCCTTAAAGGCTAATAATGCTCTACCAACTGAGCCAACTGAAACTAATGACTTCTGCTGGAAGGTTTACAGGTATACTTTATAATTAAAAGCTATATTATTTTGTTATTTAAGTGTTTTTCATAAATGTGTTAAAAATATCTGTGTTAATTCCTGGTATAACATATCAATTTCTCATTACCGAAACAGTGAATCTCTCTACCGCAACATGCCTTTAACTGTTGCGGTGTATGATAATGCTGTTGCGGAGTATGAGTGACCTTGACATTTTCCGCTGTCTGCGAAGGCACCACAAGGCTTAGCTAAACTTTAGCTACTGTAGCTGTTTATTTTTGGACCATAATGAAGTATATAATAAACAAGAATTTGTAAATAAAAAAAATATATCAATGTTAAAAACGTTGCGTATCGGTAATGAGAAATGAAAAGTCGTGTAGCTGCTGTAATGAACAAACTTTTTACTTTTATCTGGAGAGAAATAAAATGAGGTGCTTACCTGGTAGCTACTTTGAGTGTCACTGGAAATGATGTTCCTCCCTTCAGAATTCTTTGATTTTGTAAGTTCCTTGTGGACTTAAACGATTATTGAAAATTGTTGCGGAGGATGAGAAAAATGGTTGTGGACAAAGTTATTTTCCTTAAAACTTTAACTTATTTTATACAAGAATACCCAATATCACATGTTTATTTATTGTAACTGTTTATAGTATAACATGCACTGATGCTTTATAAATTTCATATTTTTTTTGGTTTAAAAAATTGTATTTCAAAGTTCTCAAATTCAGTAATGGACGCGTTGCGGTAATGAGAAATTTACTATTAAATATGGAAAAAACAATAACAATATTTTTATATTACTTAATTGCTTTTAATTACCTTGTTTTCTCACTTTTGCCATTGCCTGAAATAAATTAATAAAAAAAAAAAAAAAAAAAAAAAAATGTTCACTTTAAAGGCACACCGCGGACTTTGTGACCTAAAGAGTTGACACATATGAGTTATTTTATATGAATACTTGGGCCAATATACAGCGCTTGACACTTGCAATGCTCCGAGCGGGGCTGCCCTCTTGAAATACCGCCCATGTAAGTTTCGAGCAGACGGACCGTCTGCCACCAGGTCACGTGACTTGGAAGAAAGACTTGCTTTACGGCTACAGGCGCTGATATACTCATGGAGCTAAGGCTTTTGCTACTCATTTTTCACCTGCTCGACTCCTGGTCATGGCTGAGGCAAGGAAAAATTTTAAACCTTCGGAGGAGGCTAAAAAGAGGAAACGCGAAAGGGATCGTGCTGTAAGCTGCATGTCTGTATGAGCGCTGCTCTTCACCTGGTTCCTGGATGTCATCGACCGCAAAGATGTCATTCCACGCAGCACGAGCTAGACGCAGAACTCCCTCATCCAGGATATAGAAGTCCATGTGTGGTAGATTACTAATGCAGCGGTCTGGAGGCTGACCACAGCAGAGTCTCTCAATATCTGTAGGCATGTCTCTACAGTTTGAACACACACACCAGTGCATGCTGTCTGAATACACACTCAAAAGACACCGGCTGACTGTTTGACTTTTGCGACAGTGCTGAGTTGCTTGTGGCCACTAGGGGCGCTAAACGTGAAAGTTGCAGGTCTAGCGCCCCTAGTGGCCAAGAGTTACACGGTGTGCCTTTAAATCATGTGCAACATAGCCTGTGATGACATGTTTATAAATGTATCGTTATAATTTCCATTGCATTTACTTTGTTCACCTTATTCTTCATGCCACCTTGTAAGTCTGATTTTGCGAGAATCACCCTGAAAGGATCGACTGTGAAAACCTCCCCATACTTCCGGGGAGCTTTTCAAGATGGCGGAGTGACTCTTCTCCGGAAGTTGTAAAAAAGCAACTCGAGAAAAAACTTGCTTTAATTAGTTTATTCAAATATGAGATGTGTAACTAGATTCCAGGCAACCAAGGATGACTCTGACACGAGGGAGGTGACCGCGGAGGATAGCGAGGCTAACATGGAAAACCAACTAGAGCTAGCTGAAGCTACGAAGGAGCTAACCACGGCTAAAGCTATAATGTGCTTGTCCAATAAAATGACAGAAATGAAGGACGAAATAAAACAAGAACTGGCGCATTTCAAAACGGAGATTAACCAGAAGCTTCTGAATATTACTGCGGATATTCGAAACCAAGGCACGCGTCTGGCGGAATCTGAACAGCGTTTTGGTGAACTCGAATCTGCGAACAAGGATCTAAGAGACGCGCTCCTACACTCGGTCAAACAACAGAAAACCCTGATGACAAAAATGACTGACTTGGAGGGCCGATCCAGACGAAATAACCTCCGTGTAAATAACATCAGTGAGAATGCAGAAGGTAGCTCTATGTCATCGTTTATGGACACTAGTCAACTTTCAAAGGTTTGATATGAAGGACAAAGTGTTACGTGCAGCCTGGGCGAAGAAGATCATCTTTGACGGTAAAGTTATTGCGTTTGCCAATGACATGCCCACGGAGATAAACAATAAAATGAAGGAATACAAGGACATTAAGAAGTCCCTTAAAGAAGCAAAGATACGCTTTCAGACACTGTATCCTGCGAAACTGAGAGTCCATTGGGAGGACGGCCCACGCGTGTACAAGACGGCGAAAGAGGCGGCGGAGAAAGAGAAGCCTTTCTGTGGAGATCCCCCGCTCTTCGGCTACGGACTGGGAGCAGGTACTCACTCGTGATACGCATTGGAACAAGGCTGGGAACACTCATACTGAGCGAGTACGGGAAAGACTGCGTGTGTTTCAGAATGACTAGCTAACATTTTTTGGTAAATAATGCTGATGAAGGAAGTGACGAATATTCACAAAATGCTGCACATCAGACAAAAGAATATGCACTCATGAAAAAACCCCAAGGACACAAGATAGTACAGGAATCATAAAGATGACCAGCTTACAAAACCAGACAATTATTGACTCCAAGAATAAACAAATGCTCTCTCCCACTCTCGACGAGAGCAAAGTCCAACACAATCAGGCGCCGCTGGGGTGGGGGCATTGTTTGCTAAATCTGATATGGAAGACCAAAACCAAGACCAAAATCCAGACCAGAGACCAGACCGGAATCCAGTCTCAGACCATATGACCCTAACCCTTGTTGAATTTCTGTATCTGATTGTAAGGATAAATTAAATACAGATGTTAAACTTGGAACCTTTGTCTTACTTCTGCATCAACTTTGAACACGTCTGTCAAGGGTATTTTTGACAACAGAAGTAAGTGCGCTTCGGCCTTGTTAAACTGTTTCTAAAGGTAAGAACAGGCAATTGACAATCTTAGTTTATGTTTATCACCCTTGTTTGAAGGGAATATACACATACAAATGAATCATTTAGAATATATTCCTCCTCTATGTGCGTGTGTGTGTATAGATTTACAAAGAATAGTTTTTGTTTTTGGATGACCTACTTTAACCATTATTCTGGTCGGGTTCGGGAAGAGATGACACTCTTCAAATTCCTTTTTGTCTTTTACGTGTGCTCAAGAAGGGACTTTGTACTGCCAAAGAAGGAGCCCCTACTACCTGGAGTAGGGCTTTTCTCCTCATTTGTATTCGAAGGACGGACAATGGAAGATGGGAAGACAGGGACAATGAAAACCCTGGAGGTGGAAGTGATTTTGTTTTGTTTACTGTTTTGTGTTTACAGTCTGCAGATTTCTCTCATTCATTTGCTATGACTGGTATCAACATTAGAGGCAAGGCAAGGCAAGGCAAGTTTATTTGTATAGCACAATTCATACACAAGGCAACTCAAAGTGCTGAACAAGATAGCATTAAAATCATAAATAATCACAGAACATTAAAAAGAAAGATAAAAATATAAAATCCCTCAGTTGTATGCACAGCTAAACAGCAATGTTTTTAACCTGGTTTTAAACATCGTCAGAGAGGAGGCCTGTCTCACATCTTCAGGAAGACTGTTCCAGATTTTAGCAGCATGAATCTGAAAAGCAGCCTCCCCATGTTTAGTTCTGACTCTGGGCACTAACAGGAGTCCAGTCCCTGTGCTCCTCAGAGTCCCAGCAGGAGTCCAGTCCCTGTGCTCCTCAGAGTCCCAGCAGGAGGCCAGTCCCTGTGCTCCTCAGAGTCCCAGCAGGAGTCCAGTCCCTGAGCTCCTCAGAGTCCCAGCAGGAGGCCAGTCCCTGTGCTCCTCAGAGTCCCAGCAGGAGTCCAGTCCCTGTGCTCCTCAGAGTCCCAGCAGGAGTCCAGTCCCTGAGCTCCTCAGAGTCCCAGCAGGAGTCCAGTCCCTGTGCTCCTCAGAGTCCCAGCAGGAGTCCAGTCCCTGTGCTCCTCAGAGTCCCAGCAGGAGTCCAGTCCCTGAGCTCCTCAGAGTCCCAGCAGGAGTCCAGTCCCTGTGCTCCTCAGAGTCCGGGCTGGTTCATATGGGACTAACATGTCACTAATATATTTTGGTGCGAGGCCATGGAGAGACTTGTAACAAGCAGAGCTGTTTTAAAGTCTATTCTCTGAGCCACAGGAAGCCAGCGCAGAGACCTGAGGACTGGACTAATATAGAGCAGCTTCTTGGAATGTAAACAACCCTGTTAAAAGGAGCCGAGTAATGACATGGATAAAAAGGGAAAGAATGCAAATTATGTTTCTTCAAGAAACTCACCTATCACAAAAAGAACACAAAAAATTAAAGAAGTTTGGATTTAACCATGTTTTTCACAGCTCTCATTAAGCTGGGAACAAACGTGGAGTCGCAGTGTTAATACATAACACTGCATTTTGAGTGCATTAAGCAGATAAAAGACTGAGGAAAGGTTTGTACTTTTACAATGTGAAATAGAGGGCAAACTGTCTACTCTTCTCTCAGTCTGCATGCCCCCAGATCATGACACCAAATTTATAAAGAGAATTTTGGAACTGATCTCCTCAGAATCACAAGGGGTGCTGATATGTGCGGGTGATTTCAACACAATCCTGCACAGAAATGATACGACCAACACTAGGAGAACTGTCACAAAGTCACAAAGTAAATTACTGAAAAAGGGTCTTCGTGATTTAGGCTTGATCGACGTTTGGCGGGAAATGTGTCTTTTTACTCTTCCCCTCACAAAGTACATTCTAGAATAGATTTGTTTTTTATGGCGGCTGATGACAGACACAGGATCCAAAGTTGGGACATTGGTACCAGGAGTTTGTCAGACCACTCGCCCGCATATCTAACATTTCCTCTGGATTCTAGGCCAAAAAAAACAATATGGAGGTTAAACACTGGATTACTGAATAATAAAAAAGTAATAAATGACATAAAAACTGAGATTAAAAACTTTTTAGAGCTAAATGACAAAGGTGAACCCTAACTTTCTATGGGACATGTTGAAGGCAGTAATTAGCGGTAAATTCATATCATTAAGTGCAGCTATCAAAAAGGAAAAAGAAAAGACATTTAAAGAATTAGAAGAGTCATTAAGAGAGCTGGAGAAGAAGAAAGTTGAAACTCCAAATAATCAAATCTTGGAAGAAATTACACTTAAGAAAACACACATTTCAAACTGTTATAAAGAGGAAGAAAAGAAAACATATACATTCTTTTTTTTTATTTTTATGACTGAGATATTTATTGTGTTTTATCATGGGGGGGGAAGGGGAGGGGATCGGGGATAAAAAATAAAAAATAAAAATAAAAATACAATAATAATAATAATAAAATAAAAAAATAAAAAAATAAATAATAATAAATAATAAGATAACAAAGAGCAAAGGAAAAATAAAATAAAAATAAAATAAACTAAGATAAAAAGTAAAAAATAAACATATGTAAACCTATATACATACATACAGGTGACAATGAGAATACATACATATCACACTCGAAGATTTAGACATATATTCACACAAAAAAACCAAACAAAAAAACATATAAATTCTTAAAACAATCCTACTATGAAACTGGCCCACGGGCTACAAAGCTTTTTGTCAGGAAAATAAGACAGAAGCAGATAACACTTAATCCAAGGACCTTTAGAAAATGATCTTGATGGAATTGATGCAGCTTTCAAAGACTATTATAAAATGCTTTACACACCGCCTGAGAGAGTAGGAGTAGATAGAGTGAAACGTTTGTTGGATTCTTTGGATTTACCTTCAACAGGAAGACAACACAATGAATGTCTAACAAAACAAATCCATAAGATCGAACTGGAGATGGCATTTAAAAAGATGAAAAACAACAAAACCCCGGGTACAGACGGGTCCAGCGGAATGGTATAAGGCTTTTGAATCAGAACTTTTTTTAGTGAATATATGTCTAAATCTTCGAGTGTGATATGTATGTATTCTCATTGTCACCTGTATGTATGTATATAGGTTTACATATGTTTATTTTTTACTTTTTATCTTAGTTTATTTTATTTTTATTTTATTTTTCCTTTGCTCTTTGTTATCTTATTATTATTATTATTTTTTTTTATTATTATTATTATTGTATTTTTATTTTTTTTTTATTTTTATTTTTTTTCAGAGCCATAAAACTTAAAGTGTGACAAGTGACCTCCGAGAGACCTCGACTCAAAGCACATAAGATAAACTAACTAATTAGCATTTATTAGCAGTTTTAAGAAAGGTCCCAGACAGCTCCAAAGTCTGGTCCATGGGCCTGGGTCCTGGTTTTAAGAAAGGTCCCAGACAGCTCCAAAGTCTGGTCCATGGGCCTGGGTCCTGGTTTTAAGAAAGGTCCCAGACAGCTCCAAAGTCTGGTCCATGGGCCTGGGTCCTGGGTCCTGGAGGAGTCCACATCAGTCTCTACAACTCTGCCAAAGGTTGTCACAGAGAAGGATGCCGCTTATAAAGGCCTTGAATGCTGACGTAAACACATAGACTTTGGAACCATGACTCAGCAGAATGAACCGGATGCTTCTACGTAAGGAACACGTGTCACTAACTCTGCACGCCGCTTTGTGACTCTGGTCTGTGAAAGGCAGTATATAAATAAAGCTTACACTGGGGCCTCACACTGGGGCCTCACACTGGGGCCTCACTCAGACCACACTGGGGCCTCACTCAGACCACACTGGGGCCTCACACTGGGGCCTCACTCAGACCACACTGGGCCTCACTCAGACCACACTGGGCCTCACTCCGACCACACTGGGGCCTCACTCAGACCACACTGGGGCCTCACACTGGGGCCTCACTCAGACCACACTGGGACCTCACTCAGACCACACTGGACCTCACTCAGACCACACTGGGGCCTCACTCAGACCACACTGGGGCCTCACTCAGACCACACTGGGCCTCACTCAGACCACACTGGGCCTCACTCAGACCACACTGGGGCCTCACACTGGGCCTCACTCAGACCACACTGGGGCCTCACTCAGACCACACTGGGCCTCACTCAGACCACACTGGGGCCTCACTCAGACCACACTGGGCCTCACTCAGACCACACTGGGCCTCACTCAGACCACACTGGGGCCTCACTCAGACCACACTGGGGCCTCACTCAGACCACACTGGGGCCTCACACTGGGGCCTCACTCAGACCACACTGGGACCTCACTCAGACCACACTGGACCTCACTCAGACCACACTGGGCCTCACTCAGACCACACTGGGCCTCACTCAGACCACACTGGGGCCTCACTCAGACCACACTGGGCCTCACTCAGACCACACTGGGGCCTCACTCAGACCACACTGGGGCCTCACTCAGACCACACTGGGCCTCACTCAGACCACATGGGGCCTCACTCAGACCACACTGGGGCCTCACTCAGACCACATGGGCCTCACTCAGACCACACTGGGCCTCACTCAGACCACACTGGGGCCTCACTCAGACCACACTGGGGCCTCACTCAGACCACACTGGGCCTCACTGGGGCCTCACTCAGACCACACTGGGCCTCACTCAGACCACACTGGACCTCACTCAGACCACACTGGGGCCTCACTCAGACCACACTGGGCCTCACTCAGACCACACTGGGGCCTCACTCAGACCACACTGGGGCCTCACTCAGACCACACTGGGCCACACTTCACACACTGGGACCTCACTCAGACCACACTGGGCCTCACTCAGACCACACTGGGCCTCACTCAGACCACACTGGGCCTCACTCAGACCACACTGGGCCTCACTCAGACCACACTGGGGCCTCACTCAGACCACACTGGGGCCTCACTCAGACCACACTGGGGCCTCACTCAGACCACACTGGGGCCTCACTCAGACCACACTGGGGCCTCACTCAGACCACACTGGGGCCTCACTACCACACTGGGCCTCACTCAGACCACACTGGGGCCTCACTCAGACCACACTGGGGCCTCACTCAGACCACACTGGGGCCTCACACTGGGGCCTCACTCAGACCACACTGGGGCCTCACTCAGACCACACTGGGGCCTCACTCAGACCACACTGGGGCCTCACTCAGACCACACTGGGCCTCACTCAGACCACACTGGGCCTCACTCAGACCACACTGGGCCTCACTCAGACCACACTGGGCCTCACTCAGACCACACTGGGCCTCACTCAGACACTGGGCCTCACTCAGACCACACTGGGGCCTCACTCAGACCACACTGGGCCTCACTCAGACCACACTGGGGCTCACTCAGACCACACTGGGGCCTCACCAGACACACTGGGGCCTCACTCAGACCACACTGGGGCCTCACTCAGACCACACTGGGCCTCACTCAGACCACACTGGGCCTCACTCAGACCACACTGGGGCCTCACTCAGACCACACTGGGCCTCACTCAGGGACCACACTGGGCCTCTCAGACCACATGGGCCTCACTCAGACCACACTGGGGCCTCACTCAGACCACACTGGGCCTCACTCAGACCACACTGGGCTCACTCAGACCACACTGGGGCCTCACTCAGACCACACTGGGGCCTCACTCAGACCACACTGGGCTCACTCAGACCACACTGGGCCTCACTCAGACCACACTGGGGCCTCACTCAGACCACACTGGGCCTCACTCAGACCACACTGGGGCCTCACTCAGACCACACTGGGGCCTCACACGGGGCCTCACTCAGACCACACTGGGCCACTCCCACACTGGGCCTCACTCAGACCACACTGGGCCTCCACTGGGCCTCACTCAGACCACACACTGGGGGCCTCACTCAGACCACACTGGGGCCTCACTCAGACCACACTGGGCCTCACTCAGACCACACTGGGCCTCACTCAGACCACACTGGGCCTCACTCAGACCACACTGGGCCTCACTCAGACCACACTGGGCCTCACTCAGACCACACTGGGCCTCACTCAGACCACACTGGGGCCTCACTCAGACCACACTGGGGCCTCACTCAGACCACACTGGGGCCTCACTCAGACCACACTGGGCCTCACTCAGACCACACTGGGGCCTCACTCAGACCACACTGGGCCTCACTCAGACCACACTGGGGCCTCACTCAGACCACACTGGGCCTCACTCAGACCACACTGGGGCCTCACTCAGACCACACTGGGGCCTCACACATGGGGCCTCACTCAGACCACACTGGGCCTCACTCAGACCACACTGGGCCTCACTCAGACCAGCACTGGGGCCTCACTCAGACCACACTGGGCCTCACTCAGACCACACTGGGGCCTCACTCAGACCACACTGGGCCTCACTGGGGCCTCACTCAGACCACACTGGGGCCTCACTCAGACCACACTGGGGCCTCACTCAGACCACACTGGGGCCTCACTCAGACCACACTGGGCCTCACTCAGACCACACTGGGGCCTCACTCAGACCACACTGGGCCTCACTCAGACCACACTGGGGCCTCACTCAGACCACACTGGGGCTCACTCAGACCAACTGGGGCCTCACTCAGACCACACTGGGCCTCACTCAGACCACACTGGGGCCTCACTCAGACCACACTGGGGCCTCACTCAGACCACACTGGGCCTCACTCACCGACCACACTGGGGCCTCACTCAGACCACACTGGGGCCTCACTCAGACCACACTGGGCCTCACTCAGACCACACTGGGGCCTCACTCAGACCACACTGGGGCCTCACTCAGACCACACTGGGCCTCACTCAGACCACACTGGGCCTCACTCAGACCACACTGGGCCTCACTCAGACCACACTGGGGCCTCACTCAGACCACACTGGGGCCTCACTCAGACCACACTGGGGCCTCACTCAGACCACACTGGGCCTCACTCAGACCACACTGGGGCCTCACTCAGACCACACTGGGCCTCACTCAGACCACACTGGGGCCTCACTCAGACCACACTGGGCCTCACTCAGACCACACTGGGCCTCACTCAGACCACACTGGGCCTCACTCAGACCACACTGGGGCCTCACTCAGACCACATGGGGCCTCACTCAGACCACACTGGGGCCTCACTCAGACCACACTGGGCCTCACTCAGACCACACTGGGGCTCACTCAGACCACACTGGGGCCTCACTCAGACCACACTGGGGCCTCACTCAGACCACACTGGGCCTCACTCAGACCACGGCCACTGGGGCCTCACTCAGACCACACTGGGCCTCACTCAGACCACACTGGGGCCTCACTCAGACCACACTGGGGCCTCACTCAGACCACACTGGGGCCTCACTCAGACCACACTGGGGCCTCACTCAGACCACACTGGGGCCTCACTCAGACCACACTGGGCCTCACTCAGACCACACTGGGCCTCACTCAGACCACACTGGGGCCTCACACTGGGGCCTCACTCAGACCACACTGGGGCCTCACTCAGACCACACTGGGCCTCACTCAGACCACACTGGGGCCTCACTCAGACCACACTGGGGCCTCACTCAGACCACACTGGGGCCTCACTCAGACCCACTGGGGCCTCACTCAGACCACACTGGGGCCTCACTCAGACCACACTGGGGCCTCACTCAGACCACACTGGGCCTCACACTGGGCCTCACTCAGACCAACTGGGGCCTCACTCAGACCACACTGGGCCTCACTCAGACCACACTGGGCCTCACTCAGACCACACTGGGCCACCGGCCTCACTCAGACCACACTGGGGCCTCACTCAGACCACACTGGGGCCTCACTCAGACCACACTGGGCCTCACTCAGACCACACTGGGGCCTCACTCAGACCACACTGGGGCCTCACTCACTGGGCCTCACTCAGACCACACTGGGGCCTCACTCACTGGGCCTCACTCAGGGCCTACCACACTGGGGCCTCACTCAGACCACACTGGGGCCTCACTCAGACCACACTGGGGCCTCACTCAGACCACACTGGGCTCACCAACATGGGCCTCACTCAGACCACACTGGGGCCTCACTCAGGGGGCCTCACTCAGACCACACTGGGGCCTCCTGGGCCTCACTCAGACCACACTGGGGCCTCACTCAGACACACTGGGGCCTCACTCAGACCACACTGGGGCTCACTCACACTGGGCCTCACTCAGACCACACTGGGGCCTCCACTGGGCCTCACTCAGACCACACTGGGCCTCCCTCACTCAGCACACTGGGCCTCACTCAGACCACACTGGGCCTCACTCAGACCACACTGGGCTCACTCAGACCACACTGGGCCCTCCACACTGGGGCCTCACTCAGACCACACTGGGGCCTCACACTGGGGCCTCACTCAGACCACACTGGGCCTCACTCAGACCACACTGGGGCCTCACTCAGACCACACTGGGCCTCACTCAGACCACACTGGGGCCTCACTCAGACCACACTGGGGCCTCACTCAGACCACACTGGGGCCTCACTCAGACCACACTGGGGCCTCACACTGGGGCCCACTCAGACCACACTGGGGCCTCACTCACACACTGGGCCTCACTCAGACCACACTGGGCACTCACACTGGGGCCTCACTCAGACCACACTGGGCCTCCTCACACACTGGGCCTCACTCAGACCACACTGGGGCCTCACACTGGGCCTCACTCAGACCACACTGGGGCCTCACTCAGACCACACTGGGCCTCACACTGGGGCCTCACTCAGACCACACTGGGGCCTCACTCAGACCACACTGGGGCCTCACTCAGACCACACTGGGCCTCACCACACTGGGCCCACTGGGGCCCACACGGGCCTCACTCAGACCACACTGGGGCCTCACACTGGGGCTCACTCAGACCACACTGGGGCCTCACACTGGGCCTCACTCAGACCACACTGGGGCCTCACACTGGGCTCACTGACCACACTGGGGCCTCACTCAGACCACACTGGGGCCTCACTCAGACCACACTGGGCCTCACACTGGGGCCTCACTCAGACCACACTGGGGCCTCACTCAGACCACACTGGGCCTCACTCAGACCACACTGGGCCTCACTCAGACCACACTGGGGCCTCACTCAGACCACACTGGGGCCTCACTCAGACCACACTGGGCCTCACTCAGACCACACTGGGGCCTCACTCAGACCACACTGGGGCCTCACTCAGACCACACTGGGGCCTCACTCAGACCACACTGGGGCCTCACTCAGACCACACTGGGCCTCACTCAGACCACACTGGGCCTCACTCAGACCACACTGGGGCCTCACTCAGACCACACTGGGGCCTCACTCAGACCACACTGGGGCCTCACTCAGACCACACTGGGCCTCACTCAGACCACACTGGGGCCTCACTCAGACCACACTGGGCCTCACTCAGACCACACTGGGGCCTCACTCAGACCACACTGGGGCCTCACTCAGACCACACTGGGCCTCACTCAGACCACACTGGGGCCTCACTCAGACCACACTGGGGCCTCACTCAGACCACACTGGGCCTCACTCAGACCACACTGGGGCCTCACACTGGGGCCTCACTCAGACCACACTGGGGCCTCACTCAGACCACACTGGGGCCTCACACTGGGGCTCACACCCAGCCACACTGGGTCCTCACACACTGGGCCTCACACGGCTCACACACTGGGCCCCAGACCACACTGGGGCCTCACACTGGGCCTCACTCAGACCACACTGGGGCCTCACTCAGACCACACTGGGGCCTCACTCAGACCACACTGGGCCTCACACTGGGGCCTCACTCAGACCACACTGGGGCCTCACTCAGACCACACTGGGCCTCACTCAGACCACACTGGGCCTCACTCAGACCACACTGGGGCCTCACTCAGACACACTGGGGCCTCACTCAGACCACACTGGGCCTCACTCAGACCACACTGGGGCCTCACTCAGACCACACTGGGGCCTCACTCAGACCACACTGGGCCTCACTCAGACCACACTGGGGCCTCACTCAGACCACACTGGGCCTCACTCAGACCACACTGGGGCCTCACTCAGACCACACTGGGGCCTCACTCAGACCACACTGGGGCCTCACTCAGACCACACTGGGCCTCACCTGGGGCCTCACTCAGACCACACTGGGCCTCACAGACCAATGGGCTCCTCAGACCACACTGGGGCCTCACTCAGACCACACTGGGCCTCACTCAGACCACACTGGGGCCTCACTCAGACCACACTGGGGCCTCACTCAGACCACACTGGGCCTCACTCAGACCACACTGGGGCCTCACTCAGACCACACTGGGCCTCACTCAGACCACACTGGGGCCTCACTCAGACCACACTGGGCCTCACTCAGACCACACTGGGGCCTCACTCAGACCACACTGGGCCTCACTCAGACCACACTGGGGCCTCACTCAGACCACACTGGGCCTCACTCAGACCACACTGGGGCCTCACTCAGACCACACTGGGGCCTCACTCAGACCACACTGGGGCCTCACTCAGACCACACTGGGCCTCACTCAGACCACACTGGGGCCTCACTCAGACCACACTGGGGCCTCACTCAGACCACACTGGGGCCTCACTCAGACCACACTGGGGCCTCACTCAGACCACACTGGGCCTCACTCAGACCACACTGGGCCTACTCACACACGGGCCTCACACTGGGCCTCACTCAGACCACACTGGGGCCTCACTCAGACCACACTGGGGCCTCACTCAGACCACACTGGGGCCTCACTCAGACCACACTGGGGGCCCTCACTCAGACCACACTGGGCCTCACTCAGACCACACTGGGCCTCACTCAGACCACACTGGGGCCTCACTCAGACCACACTGGGCCTCACTCAGACCACACTGGGGCCTCACTCAGACCACACTGGGCCTCACTCAGACCACACTGGGGCCTCACACTGGGCCTCACTCAGACCACACTGGGCCTCACTCAGACCACACTGGGGCCTCACTCAGACCACACTGGGGCCTCACTCAGACCACACTGGACCTCACTCAGACCACACTGGGCCTCACTCAGACCACACTGGGGCCTCACACCACACTGGGGCCTCACATCAGACCACACTGGGGCCTCACTCAGACCACACTGGGCCTCACTCAGACCACACTGGGCCTCACTCAGACCACACTGGGCCTCACTCAGACCACACTGGGGCCTCACTCAGACCACACTGGGCCTCACTCAGACCACACTGGGCCTCACTCAGACCACACTGGGCCTCACTCAGACCACACTGGGGCCACTCAACCACACGGCCTCACTCAGACCACACTGGGGCCTCACTCAGACAATGGGCCTCACTCAGACCACACTGGGGCCTCACTCAGACCACACTGGGGCCTCACTCAGACCACACTGGGGCCTCACTCAGACCACACTGGGGCCTCACTCAGACCACACTGGGGCCTCACACTGGGGCCTCACTCAGACCACACTGGGGCCTCACACTGGGCCTCACTCAGACCACACTGGGGCCTCACACTGGGGCCTCACTCAGACCACACTGGGCTCTCACACTGGGCCTCACTCAGACCACACTGGGGCCTCACACTGGGCCTCACTCAGACCACACTGGGGCCTCACTCAGACCACACTGGGCCTCACTCTGACCACACTGGGGCCTCACACTGGGGCATCACTCAGACCACACTGGGCCTCACACTGGGGCCTCACTCAGACCACACTGGGGCCTCACACTGGGCCTCACTCAGACCACACTGGGGCCTCACTCAGACCACACTGGGGCCTCACACTGGGGCCTCACTCAGACCACACTGGGGCCTCACACTGGGCCTCACTCAGACCACACTGGGGCCTCACACTGGGGCCTCACTCAGACCACACTGGGCTCTCACACTGGGCCTCACCAGACCACACTGGGGCCTCACACTGGGCCTCACTCAGACCACACTGGGGCCTCACACTGGGGCCTCACTCAGACCACACTGGGCCTCACACTGGGGCCTCACTCAGACCACACTGGGCCTCACTCAGACCACACTGGGGCCTCACTCTGACCACACTGGGGCCTCACACTGGGGCATCACTCAGACCACACTGGGGCCTCACACTGGGCCTCACTCAGACCACACTGGGGCCTCACTCAGACCACACTGGGCCTCACTCAGACTACACTGGGCCTCACTCAGACCACACTGGGCCTCACTCAGACCACACTGGGCCTCACTCAGACCACACTGGGGCCTCACTCAGACCACACTGGGGCCTCACTCAGACCACACTGGGGCCTCACTCAGACCACACTGGGCCTCACTCAGACCACACTGGGCCTCACTCAGACCACACTGGGGCCTCACTCAGACCACACTGGGCCTCACTCAGACCACACTGGGGCCTCACTCAGACCACACTGGGGCCTCACTCAGACCACACTGGGGCCTCACTCAGACCACACTGGGGCCTCACTCAGACCACACTGGGGCCTCACTCAGACCACACTGGGCCTCACTCAGACCACACTGTTTAGCATTGTTGATGATTTTTATTGAGTGCAGGTACAGGTATAGGTGTATGTTTGTATGTGTGTGTATGTATATATATATGTATATGTATGAATGTGTGTATGTGTATTTAAATCCATGTATAGATATATATATATATTATATACATAAAAGGAAGAAAATTAAAATAAATAAATAATAATAAGAAAAAAACTATATATATATAAATATATATGTCATACTCTGTGTTTATGTATATAATGTGATTACAAGGAATATTTCTTTGAATTAGTACGAACTATTTATTTTCTTACAATGAAAATTGTATTTGGAAATACTGTAAGCTCTGTGGATCCGCTACATTGTATATAATTTTGTTACATTTGTATAAGTAAGAAATGTAATTTTGTTATTTGTTAATAGGGTTAGGCGAAATAAGTGTTAAACTTCAGCCTAACCCTTTCGGTCAGTATATAATTTATAATTTGTGAATGTCAAATGTTTTCTTATTTTCTGCTGATGGCCGAAGAATAAACGAATATATATATATATATATATATATAATATATATATATATATATATATATATATATATATATATATATATATATATATATATTATAGTAATAGTAATAAAAGGGGCCTATGGTTGGTGGCTCAAATCCTGGCTGCCCCAAGTGCAGTCTGGTATGTTCTTGAGCAATGCACTTCACCCACATGTGTGGACATAGTGAGAGACTGCTTGGTGGTGGCCAATAGCACAGATTAGTAGCCTGGCATCCTCCAACCCAGCTGTGACACACTGTGTGGAATAAATGAATAAAGACTAGTGTGGCGTTTTGAGAAACTTGTCAACACAGGATTGAAAAGTACATTACAAGTTAAAGATATTATTACACCACCACCACCACACACTCCTACACCCATGGTCTCCACATTACTGATCATAAAGAGAACATGCCATAACATTTTTGTGCCCAACTTTGGCCTTTTGGGACAAGCAGACATTCATTACTATTGTGTTTTGTCAAATTTGTATGTAGAAGAGGGAGATTAAACAAAAAGAACAAATTGTTTTCTGACATTTTATGTACATGCTTTTTATACATTTGTGTTATCTGAATGGCTCTGAAATGTAGACACTGAATAAGTTCAACACAAAACAAATATTGCAACAAATTCTTATTTATTATAATCGTGAGAGAAAGGCTTCAGAGGAGAGCGCCAATCTCCATCTCTCTTGGAAAGCTTTCAGCCTCCCTGCTGCCTCCTCTGGTAAATGCCTCACCAGATCATTTGCAATCATTTTAAACTCACTGTCCATAAAGAACAATCACAGATTAGATTGTGCAGTGCACAGTGAAATATGTCCATCAATATTTAAATAATCTTACCATGGTTCATACTTTGGCCCCTTTATGAATTTTTCAATTGCCTCTTGCTGAGGCAGGTGAAATGCCTCGGCCAGAGTGTGAACTGTCACCTAGATAAGAGTAAAATGTGTTACATTCAACAACAACAGTTCACAAAACCAAATGCAGCCCTAAAAGGTGTTGTGTCCTGTTTAATATATTGTCAGTGACTTGCACTTATGACTTTATGGTCTCTGTACATCAACAATGTTGCAATGCAGAGTTTTTAGTACAGTGTACGTCCAGGAAACATGTACCATGACATGTTTATGTTTGAGGGGGGTTCAGTGTTTTATGCACACTTTCATTACAATAGTCCCTGTGCCAGCCTGGTGGCGCTCGGGCCTACTAATGTAAAACAAACATTATATAAATCATGCTATACTTCCGGTAAGAGCGTGTAGACCAATCAGAAAGGAAGGGGGAGGGAGCTGGGGTTGTTTTTTTTTTTCAAATCAAGTACCTCTCTGTCTTCCACAAATGCTCACACACACGTGCAAACCCATGAAAGGGCATCTGCTTGTCATGGAGCTATGTTTTAACTTCGAATCCAGGTGTTGTGCAATATTGTAAATTTGTTCTTTAAAGTGATTGTCTAGAGTTTGTCAGAAAGAGAGACAGAGAGGTACTTGATTTGAAAAAAAAAACAACCCAAGCTCCCTCCCCCTTCCTTTCTGATTGGTCTACACGCTCTTACCGGAAGTATAGCATGCGCCTCGCTCAGTCTTTGTCTAGCGTCTGAGGAGGTGGGTCACGTTTTTACACTCTGCATGATTTCGGTTTTAAATGTTATTTATGTTGTTACAAATGCAAATGTACAAGTCAGAGCCTTTTGAATCCATGTTTTAAGTCTGTAGTTTACAGTGATGGGCAGTAGCGACGCTACTAGCTTAACTCGCTACGTTTTTCAGTAGCTTGAGGGTAGCGTCACTATTTACAAATCCAAGTAACTTTTCTGTAGCTAAGCTATTTTTTTGAGCAAGTAGCGCGGTAGGGTCCTCCAAAGCTGTTTTCTCACGGACATTTCTGATGTTCATATACTACAGCATTTTCCCGCTGCCAAAAACAAAGTAGGAAGACGGAATGTTTAAGTGTGCAGGCCTTAGTGACGACGCATACACTCGCGTACACGCACGCACACACTCATACGCACGCACACACTTGCGCGCGCTGTTGGAGGGAGACAGGACGGCAGGAGCCGCGGTCTCGGAGGACTAAAGCCAATATGGCGCCAGATTTACGCCAAAAGTCCACACGCTCAAATAACACATACACGCGCAGCTTTATGTAATTCACACACGCGCGCAAACTACTCTCCACGCGCACATTTCACACCACACGCGCGCAGACTCAGTACCACGAGCAACAATACGCACGTGTGTGCGCTCGTGACCTGCCCTCTCCCTTCTCGTGGTCTGTGTTCTCGTGACCACGTATGTGCATAGCTGAGTGGCTAAAGAAGGAACACTGGAACAGACTTTGTGTTTGTGTCCAGTTGCAAACACTGCTAACCGGCAGTTAGCATTTTAGCTGTTTTGCTAAGTTTTGCTAAGGAGGCTCCTTTGTTTTAGTCTGAGGAGAAACAGCTGTTCATGATTTGGCCTGTGTAGCCTTAGGCTATATCCACACGAAGACAAACGCTTATAATTTCAGAAACTTTTTCTGTAAACACGGAGTTAGCTCAGTAAATGTGTGCGTCCATATGAATGTAGTCAATACGCCTGAAAACGCTGTGAAACTATGCCAGACCTGTTGGTGGCGCTGTGACGCAATGACGGGATCAAGCCCAAACTTCCGTGGGCATGCGCGGAATGTTGTAAACAGACAACATGGCGAGTGGGCGAGCTGGTACTACATTAGTATGGACGGACGATGAGGTTGAACTGTTGCTTCGGGTCACACTGGATTACAAAACCAACAAGCTACATTGTTGTTGTCATTATTTTCTGAGTGCGGCGCATGCTGCTTTAACAAGAGGCGGGGCGATGACGCAAGCGTCTCAGATACACTGCGGAGAGGCAGTAACCACGGAGCGGCATATACGGAGTTTTGAAATCTTTCCACTCTGGGACCTAGTTTCAAAAATGTTCGTTTACACCCCCCCAAAACGCCGGCCTCGTATGGACGATACACTGGATTGGTAAAAGTATTTTTGCGTTTAGGCCTGAGCTTGACTTCGTGTGGACAGGGCCTTATAGTCACAACAAAAGCACATAAATACTTTAGTGCTAAAGTATTCAGCTCTAAAACCACGAAGTGTGTGTGGTGTTTTTCTTGATTACAACAACTGGAGAACAAAAGTGATCAACCTGTATACCACTAAAAGGCAATAATAACTTGAGCTAATGTTGCTTTTTTCCTTTATCAGGAGAACCATAGTCTGTGCCTTGCATCTGTGGAGAGGACTGCTGAGCTGAATGCATGGAGAGACGTGATGTGTATTTGTGTTTTCTTTTATTTTGTGCAGAGCTATCTAGTAAAAGTCAATCCAGTGATCGTCCTTGTGTCGTGGTCCTTCTTCAACATGGAACACAACGCAGATTACACTAATAAAGGGGTTAACGGGTGTGCACCACAGGTCACGACTGTAATTGAACAATACAAAACAAGTTACAACGGTGCCTTATAATTCACTACAACAAAAGCACACTATAAGGTTAATTTTTGTATTATATACACATAAAACTGATCTGTTTCAAATTAGTTTAATTGAACAAAAAAAAAGTGTTTAATTTTGTTTTCCTTTAAAGAACACAACTTTTCAATATTTTTTAACAATTCTTCAGTTTATACGAGAAAATAGTTGCAATCTTTACTTCTTTTACGTCACGCAAAAGCATAATTTTAAAAACATGCAGGAGTGTATACTTGCTAGCAAAATTTCCTCAGCATTCCATGGTTTGTAATGTTTTTTCCAATGCACATTATAAATAGGGGTAAAAAACACCACTGGATATTTTGTTACCAATTTATACTTAAATTTGCTTTTTTTGAATTTGTTTTTTTACTCAAAATAACATTTGTTTAATGTTGTAATGTCATTGTCAATAATTTACAGATTTTTTTTACAGTGCGTTTATATTCTCAATCAAGAAGAGAATTGAAAATTTTGTGCGTAGGCATTTTCTCAGCAAAATGTAAACACATTCAATCAGATCTGATCAACTGTACATGCATTTAAACCCACTGTGTTATAAAGTCACAGATGTTGCCTCCAAAGAACTCTCCTCTGAAGACTTTTCTCTGACGAGAGAGAGGTGTTTCCTTTGGATTTCCTTTTATTTTATGAGAATGAAAATTGGAAAATTATGGATAAAACATTTATACCTAACATACTTAAACATTTATATTCATCACCATCTGTTACACATCCATCGTGGGTCAAGTACAAAAAGTCCAGCTTTCATTAACGATGTATTTTCATTCTGCTTCCTGCTCATGTCCGCTACTGTCCCCCGTGACACGTTTGCGCTCTCTGATTGTTTGGTCGCACGAACGTCCAAAGGAAAGGATGAGCAGAATCCATCACCTTTGGGCGTCCATTTTTCGCTCCTGCTCCTTCCCTTTGACTTTCCCGCCCAAGTCAGTGCGTTCTACTGAACAAGTCCGTTCGTGCGGTGACGGAGAAGGTCCGTGCGTTGTGACGGTCGAACCCTCGCCACCGTAAGACTTTGCAATGTGAAACCCACGCAGCATGGTCCGTCTGGAAAGCACCATTACAGCTGCTTACCATAATGCTGAGAAGGTTTATTAAAAAAGCCCGATGGAACAAAAGCAGTGAACTCTTGCAAGCTGTGGCCTGAGTGGAATAGAGGCCCGCTCGCCTCTCAGGCAAGAAGTCCTGGTTCGATCCCGGTCAGACCAGGGCTTTCAGAGTGGAGTTTGCATGTTCTCCCCATGTCTGCGTAGGTTTCCTCCGGTACTCCGGATTCCCCCTACGACACACTATAAAATATGTCACGAGCTTAAGCTGATGTTCAGTATGTTAGACTAACCACTACGTATCACACCAGCTTAACCACGCCTTACGAAGCCTGTCTTGACATCAACTCTCCCCGCAGCCGGGTCAATCAACCAGCGTTTATGAGCAAAGCAGAGCACAGCGCTCACCAAACGGCTCAAGCTGCAATGGGTGGCTCTTCGTCACTTTGTTTTTTTACCCACGGCCTCGCACATATGTACGTCCTGCATGGTCGCGGCTCCTCTTTCCATACATCACATGTTTGGGGCTGCGCGGCCATGAATCGCTGTGTCCTCCACCTGCGGCTCCTCTCCTGCGGGAATCGCTGCAGGCGCGTCTCCCCGTGGCCGCTGCAGCTCGCGGCCAGGCTCCGCGACCCTGCCCGCTTCCTAACCGGGAACGGGACTTCTGTCTGCCTGCCGTTGTCTGCTGCCTCTGTCCACCCTTCTCCCTGCCTCCACTCACGGTACAGTGTCGGTTTTGTTGTTTTCCTGCACGACCATTCACAGTACTGAAACTGCGCGTGTCAGTTAAATCCCGCCGAATCTGGCTCGCAGCTGTGTTTTTTACCGAATTGCCATTGCTCTGCCAGGCTGTTCGTTTTACCATCTCAATTGGCTTTAGACCGTGGCCGTTTTCACCATTGACCGCACATTTTATTGGGGGACCACGTGTATTGGCCTTCGATGGCGTCCGTTTACTCATGGGATGAACAATACCACTGCATTTGAACCATTCAGGCTGTCATTGTAACCATGGACTATAACATTTGTCGGCTGCATTGGCATTTGCGCAGTCTATTTGACCGTGGACTGTATGTTTGTGCCCACTGCATTGCCTCCCGTCTGTCTGTCTGTTGAGCGTGCTCTGATTGGTCGGAGCGCGGCCGAGCCCCTCTGTACTGTTCGTGTTTAACCAGTGCGTTGGCCCTTCAGGCATGCTGTCAAACGCCTCCTTCAACGCTTCATCGCATCACACGGTCGGCGGCCGCACACTTCAACGCCCACACGCTTCGCCGGATCGCCACTTTGGTGGCCTGCAACGTTTTCGACGACGCTCTTCGGGGCCCGCACGCGTCGACACTCCACGCTTCGACTCGCTCCGTCCTACCTTCGACTCCTCCGCTACGCATCGACTCCTCCTCCACGCATCGACCCTCCTCCACGCATCGACGTGCCTCCTCCACCAGCGACGCCTCCTCCACGCATCGCCGCCTCCTCCACGCATCGACACCTCCTCCAACTCATCGACTCCTCCTCCACGCCATCGACTCCGGCGCACGCATCGACTACGCGGCGCACGAATCGACCCGGCGCCGGCATCGCCCCCTGCGCACGCATCGACGACGGCGCACGCATCGACGACGGCGCACGCATCGACGACGGGCGTACACACTGCATTGACGACCGGCGCATCGATCGACGACGGCGCACCCATCCGACGACGTGCGTCACGCATCGACGAACGGCGCACGCACGACGACGGCGCGCGCATCGTCGACGGCGCGCGCATCGACGACGGCGCGCGCATCGACGAACGGCTGCACGCAACGACGACGGCGCACTTCATCGACGACGGCGCACAGGCATCGAACGAAGGCGCACGCCTCACCGAAGGCGCTCGCTTTGGGCGGCGAACAGCCTTGACGCCTCAACACCGCCGCACCGCTACGCCGCAGCACGCATGACTGCAGCACGCTTCAACGATGTGGCGCACGCTTTGGACGCAGCGCCACCAGCAACGCTTTGACGCAGCACTCGCATCAACGATGGCCGCGACGGCACACAACACACGCAGCTCGCTAGCACTCATTGGCTGTTGGTGTGCGAGCACTGCCCCGGCCACGGTTTGTGAGCACGTCTGAGTGGCTGCAGGCGGTGCGCCTTATCTTCATGTTCCCCAGGCATTGTCTCCTCCTGGTCTCCTGGTGGAGCTCCGGCCGGCCGGCCTGTCTCACGCTTCTCGCCTTACCGTGACTCCACCTGGCCCTCATTCTGGACCGGGCCCTCGTGCGTTGGTTTTTGGTGGTCCAGAATCACATATCGAACATCAATCTTCCTGGGGTAAAGTGGTACTTCAATGAATCTCATTTTCACCTTCTAGTCTCCCCAAGTGGAATCAATGTTCGAATATCAGCGCTCTAAACACCAAGCAAGTATCATCCTTCATTCAGCATTCTCCTTTCCCTCTCACTGAGCGCACACTCTCAGTCCTCTGGACATCAGCATCGCGGGTACTGGCTGTCAACTGAGCCTCAACTACATCGGCATTAAATACATTCTCTAAAATCCACTTTCGTGACACACTGGCTCCACCCTCATAAGAAGATCCCTAAAGGAGTATTTGGCAAATGGTCCCTTGTTTCTGTAGTTTAGGGTCCTGGACACTATCCGCCCCTGTCCTGTCCGGTGTAGTGGAGTCCCTCTCTATGTAGGTCTTCCGTAAGGTTCTCACTTTTGTCCCCACATGGTTTTGTGAGTTTTCTTGCTATCAGGCGAATGGTCTGGACATTAGTGTCCACTAGAAGGCCCGTGGTAGATGATCCAGATACTTTTAACATTCTACAACATCTATGGACATTTTATGCAACAGTCATAACTATAAGTACTCCTTAAACAATCCCTCGACGACCCCGCGGAGGTCTGAACATATTCAAACCTATTTGGGTTAGGGTTGGGGGGGGTGGGGGGGTGTGCTTGGTAACTCGGACCACTGCAAGGTTAAACATAGATGAAGTTCTAGATAAACCCACGCCCCTTCCGGATAGGAGCAGCCACTGGAGGCGGCCCTGGGACTCCCTCAATCATCTCTCCGGTGCTTGGTCCCTGGTTTCTCTACCACATCATCCGGTTCGGCAGCCCACGCCTCCTCTCATATAAGTACGTATGCATTCTCCTGGTGGTGGCAACTCCTCATTACCAGCATGCCGCGCACTCGTGCCGAGCTCGTGCGCGTGCCAACGTCCTACGCTAGAGCAGAGCTGCGAGCACCGACATTACCCGAGCACGTGTGAGCCGAGCTCGTGCGCCGGGTCTAGCGCTAGAGCGAGCTCGCGACACGGACATTACGCCAGCGCGTGCCAAACGCCTAGGCGCTAGAGGCCGAGCTCGCGCATGGAAACAGTCACTCACACATGCGCCTCCATAAACGCAGCAACCAAGTCATGGCAAACGCTCGCAGCCCAAGCTCTCTTTTGGGAGTCATGATCTGCAACCAGCGCAGATCTCTCCAGAGCACGGCCACAGCCGGGGCCTAAGCTCCAAACGATAAACAAACTTCAATCCATAAATAGTCAGTTCTGCATGGGCAATGTGACAGTGAACAAAACCATCCGGGTTTTTGTCCAAACCAGAAACCCTGGATGTCTAAACAGGTCCGCACACTTCTCCAAGCTCGTGATGCTGCCTTCAGGTCTGGCGACAGAGCGCTATACAGTGCCGCTCGAGCTGACCTGGAGAAGGGAATCAAAAGAGCTAAGAAAGATCATAAGAGGAGAACAGAGTCCCACATGTCCAGCAACAACCATAGAGAAATGTGGAGGAGCATCCAAAACATTACCAACTATAGAGGCTGCAGTGCTACAGCTACAGGACTGAGCGCGACACTAGCGGAGGAGCTTAATTGCTTCTTTGCTCGTTTTGATAACCCCCCATCTGCTCCTGGCCTGAACTCACCATCATTGGGTCGCTGTGTTACTCCAGCCCTGCTCCCACCTTTACACCGCTCTGACACTTCCCCTTTCACTGTTCAGGAGCACGAGGTTAGAAGGGTGCTTCTATCCGTGAACCCCAGGAAGGCCACGGGCCCTGACGGAGTACCGGGCAAGGTGCTCAAAGCATGTGCTTTCCAGCTCGCCTCCATCTTCACAAAGCTCTTCAATCTCTCTCTGGCTCAAGCGTCCATCCCCTCCTGCCTGAAATCAGCCACAATCATTCCTATCCCAAAGAAGTCTCCCATCACTAGCCTTAATGACTACCGCCCTGTGGCTCTCACTCCGGTAATCATGAAGTGCTTTGAAAGGCTGGTCTTGCAGCACATCAGAGACCTTCTCCCAGTCAATTTCGACCCTTTCCAGTTTGCGTATCGGGCGAACAGGTCAACAGAGGACGCCATCGCTGTAGCTCTCCACTCTGCACTGAGTCATCTAGAGCAGCAGCACAGTTACATCCGCATGCTGTTTGTGGACTACAGCTCGGCGTTCAATACAATCATTCCGGACATCCTCACCACTAAACTGAGCACGCTAGGTCTTCCATCCATCACATGTGCCTGGATTAAAAACTTTTTGATCAACAGGCCTCAGACTGTGCGTCTTGGTCCTCGTCTCCTCTCCTCCACCCGAACACTGAGCACAGGCTCACCCCAGGGCTGTGTGTTGAGCCCACTCCTGTACTGCCTCTATACCCATGACTGTAGGCCAACCCACAGCAACAACCTTATCGTTAAATTTGCTGACGATACCACAGTGGTTGGTCTCATTTCAAAGGGTGATGAGGCAGCCTACAGGGAGGAGGTCCTGAAGTTGACAGCTTGGTGTGCAGAGAACAATTTATCTCTTAACACTAAGAAAACCAAAGAGATCATTGTTAACTTCAGGAAGCACAACACAGACTTGGCCCCTCTTTACATCAACGGTGAGTGTGTGGAGAGGGTCCATAGCTTTAAGTTTCTCGGGGTCCTCATCACCGCTGATATTTCCTGGTCTGAAAACATCTCAGCAATAATAAAAAAATCTCAGCAGCGGCTACACTTTCTGAGGGTGCTCGGGAAGTACAATTTAGACTCTAGTCTGCTGCTGACCTTCTATCGCTCAGCCATCGAGAGCCTGATGACCTACTGTATCACAGTGTGGTACGGAAGCTGCACTGTGGCTGACAGAGAGAGGCTGCAGAGAGTGGTGAGGACAGCACAGAAGATCATTGGCTGCTCTCTGCCTTCTCTGATGGACATTTACACCAGCCGCTGCCTCAGCAGAGCAGAGAACATCATTAAAGACAGCTCTCACCCTGGATTCTCTCTGTTTGACCTGTTACCCTCAGGGAGGCGGTACAGGTGCATCAGAGCAAGGACAAATAGACTGAAAAACAGCTTTTTTCCAAAAGCTGTGACACTATTGAATTCTCATATGCACTGAATTTTATATCTTTTATATTATATTTATAACTCCTGAGCAATAGATGCAACTGCGCACTTTAATGTCTCTAATAATTTCTGTGTCTGTGTATTAACTTATTCTGTGTGTACATTCCTGCACTGGTGGAGTTGCTTTTAATTTCATTATGCATGTGCATAGTGACAAATAAAGTCTAATCTAATCTGTCTCCTCCTCTGTCTCCTCCTCATTCTCCTCCTGTCTCCTCCTGTGTCTCCTCCTCTGTCTCCTCGTCTGTCTCCCCCTCTGTCTCCTCCTCTGTCTCCTCCTCTGTCTCCTCCTGTCTCCTCCTCTGTCTACCCCTCTGTCTCCTCCTCTGTCTCCTCCTCTGTCTCCTCGTCTGTCTCCCCCTCTGTCTCCTCCTCTGTCTCCTCCTCTGTCTCCTCCTCTGTCTCCTCCTCTGTCTACCCCTCTGTCTCCTCCTCTGTCTCCTCCTCTGTCTCCTCCTCTGTCTCCTCCTCTGTCTACCCCTCTGTCTCCTCCTCTGTCTCCTCCTCTGTCTCCTCCTCTGTCTCCTCCTCTGTCTCCTCCTCTGTCTCCTCCTCTGTCTCCTCCTCATTCTCCTCCTCTGTCTCCCCCTCTGTCTCCTCCTCTGTCTCCTCCTCTGTCTCCCCCTCTGTCTCTCCCCCGTCCCCCCCTCTGTCTCTCCCCCGTCTCCCCCTCTGTCTCCCCCTCTGTCTCTCCCCCGTCTCCCCCTCTGTCTCCCACTCTGTCTCCTCCTGTGTCTCCTCCTCTGTCTCCTCCTCCTCTGTCTCTCCCCCGTCTCCTCCTCTGTCTCCCCCTCTGTCTCCTCCTCTGTCTCCCCCTCTGTCTCCTCCTCTGTCTCCTCCTCTGTCTCCCCCTCTGTCTCTCCCCCGTCTCTCCCTCTGTCTCTCCCCCGTCTCCCCCTCTGTCTCCCACTCTGTCTCCTCCTGTGTCTCCTCCTCTGTCTCCTCCTCCTCTGTCTCTCCCCCGTCTCCTCCTCTGTCTCCTCCTCTGTCTCCTCCTCTGTCTCCCCCTCTGTCTCCTCCTCTGTCTCCTCGTCTGTCTCCCCCTCTGTCTCCCCCTCTGTCTCCTCCTCTGTCTACCCCTCTGTCTCCTCCTCTGTCTCCTCCTCTGTCTCCTCCTCATTCTCCTCCTCTGTCTCTCCTCTGTCTCCTCCTCTGTCTCCTCCTCTGTCTCCCCCTCTGTCTCCTCCTCTGTCTCCTCGTCTGTCTCCCCCTCTGTCTCCTCCTCTGTCTCCTCCTCTGTCTCCTCCTCTGTCTACCCCTCTGTCTCCTCCTCTGTCTCCTCGTCTGTCTCCCCCTCTGTCTCCTCCTCTGTCTCCTCCTCTGTCCCCCCCTCTGTCTCCTCCTCTGTCTCCTCCTCATTCTCCTCCTCTGTCTCCCCCTCTGTCTCCTCCTCTGTCTCCTCCTCTGTCTCCCCCTCTGTCTCTCCCCCGCCCCCCCTCTGTCTCTCCCCCGTCTCCCCCTCTGTCTCCCACTCTGTCTCTCCCCCGTCTCCCCCTCTGTCTCCCACTCTGTCTCCTCCTGTGTCTCCTCCTCTGTCTCCTCCTCTGTCTCCTCCTCTGTCTCCCCCTCTGTCTCTCCCCCGTCTCCCCCTCTGTCTCTCCCCCGTCTCCCCCTCTGTCTCCCACTCTGTCTCCTCCTGTGTCTCCTCCTCTGTCTCCTCCTCCTCTGTCTCTCCCCCGTCTCTCCTCTGTCTCCTCCTCTGTCTCCCCCTCTGTCTCCTCCTCTGTCTCCCCCTCTGTCTCCTCCTCTGTCTCCTCGTCTGTCTCCCCCTCTGTCTCCCCCTCTGTCTCCCCCTCTGTCTCCTCCTCTGTCTCCTCCTCTGTCTCCTCCTCTGTCTCCTCCTCTGTCTACCCCTCTGTCTCCTCCTCTGTCTCCTCCTCTGTCTCCTCCTCATTCTCCTCCTCTGTCTCCTCCTCTGTCTCCTCCACCGTCTCCTCCTCTGTCTCCCCCTCTGTCTCCTCCTCTGTCTCCCCCTCTGTCTCCTCCTCTGTCTCCTCCTCTGTCTCCTCCTCTGTCTCCTCCTCTGTCTCCTCCTCTGTCTCCTCCTCTGTCTACCCCTCTGTCTACCCCTCTGTCTCCTCCTCTGTCTCCTCCTCTGTCTCCTCCTCTGTCTCCCCCTCTGTCTTCTCCTCTGTCTTCTCCTCTGTCTCCTCCTCTGTCTCCTCCTCTGTCTCCTCCTCTGTCTCCTCCTCTGTCTCCCCCTCTGTCTCCTCCTCTGTCTTCTCCTCTGTCTCCTCCCCCGTCACCTCCTCTGTCTCCCCCTCTGTCTCCTCCTCTGTCTCCCCCTCTGTCTCCTCCTCTGTCTCCTCCTCTGTCTCCTCCTCCGTCGACCCCTCTGTCTCCTCCCCCGTCTCCTCCTCTGTCTCCTCCTCTGTCTCCTCCTCATTCTCCTCCTCTGTCTCCTCCTCTGTCTCCCCCTCTGTCTCCTCCTCTGTCTCCCCCTCTGTCTCCTCCTCTGTCTCCTCCTCTGTCTCCCCCTCTGTCTCCTCCTCTGTCTTCTCCTCTGTCTCCTCCCCCGTCACCTCCTCTGTCTCCCCCTCTGTCTCCTCCTCTGTCTCCCCCTCTGTCTCCTCCTCTGTCTCCTCCTCCGTCGACCCCTCTGTCTCCTCCCCCGTCTCCTCCTCTGTCTCCTCCTCTGTCTCCTCCTCTGTCTCCTCCTCTGTCTCCTCCTCTGTCTCCCCCTCTGTCTCCTCCTCTGTCTCCCCCTCTGTCTCCTCCTCTGTCTCCTCCTCTGTAGTTTATAATAATATAAAATGTCGTCACAGAAATTGGATTTGAGTTTCCGGACGATTCTGGAAGAAAACGTGTAGAGAAGAAACTCCCAGGTACAGACCAGAGACCAGAGAGAGACCAGAGAGAGACCAGAGAGAGACCAGAGAGAGAGACCAAGAGAGAGAGACCAGAGAGAGAGACCAGAGAGAGACCAGAGAGAGACCAGAGAGAGACCAGAGAGAGACCAGAGAGAGAGACCAGAGAGAGACCAGAGAGAGAGACCAGAGAGAGACCAGAGAGAGACCAGAGAGAGACCAGAGAGAGACCAGAGAGAGACCAGAGAGAGACCAGAGAGAGACCAGAGAGAGACCAGAGAGAGAGAGAGAGAGACCAGAGAGAGACCAGAGAGAGACCAGAGAGAGACCAGAGAGAGAGACCAGAGAGAGACCAGAGAGAGAGACCAGAGAGAGAGACCAGAGAGAGACCAGAGAGAGAGAGTCCAGAGAGAGAGAGACCAGAGAGAGAGACCAGAGAGAGAGACCAGAGAGAGACCAGAGAGAGACCAGAGAGAGAGACCAGAGAGAGAGAGGCCAGACCCAGGACTGACACCAGGACCAGACTCTGCTGGTCAGTGTAAACCTGTTCTTTGATCCTCAGCCTCGATGGAGGTGCAGAAGGTCAAAGGTCTCGTCCACAGACTCCTCAAAGTCTCAACGACAGAACTGCGGCTGACCTACACCTCCCCCAAGGTCAGACCTGGTTCAGACCTGCTTTAGTCCTGATTTAGTCCTGCTTTAGACCAGCTTTAGATCTGCTTTAGTCCTGCTTTAGACCTGCTTTAGACCTGCTTTACTCCTGATTTAGTCCTGTTTTAGACCTGCTTTAGTCCTGCCTTAGACCTGCTTTAGTCCTGCTTTAGTCCCGCTTTAGTCCTGCTTTAGTCCTGCTTTAGACCTGCTTTAGTCCTGCTTTAGACCTGCTTTAGTCCTGCTTTAGTCCTGTTTTAGACCTGCTTTAGTCCTGCCTTAGACCTGCTTTAGACCTGCTATATTCCTGCTTTAGTCCTGCTTTAGACCTGCTTTAGACCTGCTTTAGTCCTGCTTTAGACCTAGTCTGGTTTGTGTTGCAGAAACCCGGCACAGAGTTCCCGTTGGACAAAGATCTTCAGAGTCTGGACTTTCACTCAATTAAAGATGGAGACACGGTCCTGGTCCGCTGGTCCTGAGTCCTTGTCCTGAGTCCTGGTTCTGGTCCTGGGTCCTGGTTCTGAGTCCTGGTCTTGGGTCCTGGTCTTGGGTCCTGGTCCTGAGTCCTGGTCCTGAGTCCTGGTCCTGAGTCCTGGTCCTGAGTCCTGGTCCTGAGTCCTGGTCCTGAGTCCTGGTCCTGGGTCCTGAGTCCTGGTCCTGAGTCCTGGTCCTGAGTCCTGGTCCTGAGTCCTGGTCCTGAGTCCTGGTCCTGAGTCCTGGTCCTGAGTCCTGGTCCTGAGTCCTGGTCCTGAGTCCTGGTCCTGAGTCCTGGTCCTGAGTCCTGGTCCTGAGTCCTGGTCCTGAGTCCTGGTCCTGAGTCCTGGTCCTGAGTCCTGGTCCTGGTCTAGTTTCTTCTGCACTGACTTTGTTTAAAAATAAAACTCTTATTTGTTCCATCAAACTTGAGTTAATTACACACACACTACACACACACACACACTACACACACACACATACACACACACACACACACACACACACTACACACACACACACTACACACACACATACACTACACACACACTACACACACACTACACACTATACTACACACTACACACACACACTACACACACACACTACACACACACTACACACTATACTACACACACACTACACACACACACTACACACACACACACACTACACACACACACACACACTACACACACACACACACACACACACACACACACACATACACTACACACATACACTACACACACACATACACTACACACACACATACACTACACACACACACTACACACACACACACTACACACACACATACACTACACACACACACATACACTACACACACACACACTACACACATACACTACACACACTACACACTACACACACTATACTACACACTATACTACACACACTATACTACACACACACACTATACTACACACACACTACACACACTCTATACTACACACATACTACACACACACTCTATACTACACACACACTACACACACTCTATACTACACACACACACTATACTACACACACACTCTATACTACACACACTATACTACACACACACACACTGTACTACACGCACACTATACCACACACACACTATACTACACACACACACTGTACTACACACACACTATACCACACACACACACACACACTATACTACACACACACACACTATACCACACACACACTATACTACACACACACACACTATACTACACACACACACTATACTACACACACACTCTATACTACACCTGCACACACACACTATACTACACACACACTCTATACTACACACACACTCTATACTACACCTGCACACACACACTATACTACACACACACTCACTATACTACACACACACACTATACTACACACACTATACTACACACACACACTGTACTACACGCACACTATACTACACACACACACACTATACTACACACACACACTATACCACACACACACACACACTATACCACACACACACTATACTACACACACACACACTATACCACACACACACACACACACTATACCACACACACACACACACTATACTACACACACACACTTTACCACACACACACTATACTTCACACACTATACTACACACACACACTTTACCACACACACACTATACTACACACACACACACACACACTATACTACACACACACACACACTATACCAAACACACACACACACTATACTACACACACACACTTTACCACACACACACTATACTACACACACACACCCACACACTATACTACACACACACACACACTATACTACACACACACACTTTACCACACACACACTATACTACACACACACACCCACACACTATACTACACACACACACACACTATACTACACACACACACTACACACACATACACTACACACACACACACTACACACACACATACACTACACACACACACACACACTACACACACACACACACACACACTACACACACACATACACTACACACACACATACACTACACACACACACTACACACACACTACACACTATACTACACACTACACACACACTACACACACACACACACTACACACTATACTACACACTACACACACACTACACACACACACTACACACTATACTACACACTACACACACACTACACACACACACACACTACACACACACACTACATACGCATACACACACACACACACACACTACACACACTATACTACACACACACTACACACACACACACTACACACACACATACACTACACACACACTACACACACACTACACACTATACTACACACTACACACACACACTACACACACACACTACACACACACTACACACTATACTACACACTACACACACACTACACACACACACTACACACACACACAAACACACATACACACACACACACACTACACACACACACACACACACACACACACAAACACACACACACACACACATACACACACACACACACACATACACTACACACACACACACACACACATACACTACACACATACACTACACACACACACTACACACACACATACACTACACACACACATACACTACACACACACACTACACACACACACACTACACACACATACACTACACACACACACTACACACACACATACACTACACACACACACACACACTACACACACACATACACTACACACACACACACACACACACACTACACACATACACTACACACACTACACACTACACACTACACACACTATACTACACACTATACTACACACACTATACTACACACACACACTATACTACACACACACTACACACACTCTATACTACACACATACTACACACACACTCTATACTACACACACACTACACACACTCTATACTACACACACACACTATACTACACACACACTCTATACTACACACACTATACTACACACACACACACACACTGTACTACACGCACACTATACCACACACACACTATACTACACACACACACTGTACTACACACACACTATACCACACACACACACACACACACTATACTACACACACACACACTATACCACACACACACTATACTACACACACACACACTATACTACACACACACACTATACTATACACACACTATACTACACACTACACACACACACACTATACTACACACACACACTACACACACTCTATACTACACACACACTCTATACTACACCTGCACACACACACTATACTACACACACACTCTATACTACACACACACTCTATACTACACCTGCACACACACACTATACTACACACACACTCACTATACTACACACACACACACTATACTACACACACACACTGTACTACACGCACACTATACTACACACACACACACTATACTACACACACACACACACTATACCACACACACACACACACTATACCACACACACACTATACTACACACACACACACTATACCACACACACACACACTATACCACACACACACACACACTATACTACACACACACACTTTACCACACACACACTATACTTCACACACTATACTACACACACACACTTTACCACACACACACTATACTACACACACACACACACACTATACTACACACACACACACACTATACCAAACACACACACACACTATACTACACACACACACACACTATACCAAACACACACGCACACTATACCACACACACACACTATACTACACACACACTAAGATAAGATAAACCTTTATTAGTCTCACAGTGGAGAAATGTCAGTGTCATCGTTGCACATTACAGCAGAGAAAGGAAATAAGAGCACTCAGATTGCACACATCAAAGTCTATTATTTAAGATAATAGACAATAAAATTAAGATAAAATAAAATAAAATAAACTCTGGGATATAATTGCACTTGGTTCGGAGTATTTACAGATGTCTATATTATACATTAGCAGCGGAGAATATGAGAATATGAGCAGAATAAACATCAGAAATAATATCAACAGGTAAGGTGACTTGAATGGGAGAATTATCAGATATGAAATAATACAGCAGTACTGATAACAGTAAATATCAGATATGTAGTACTGTAGTAGTACTGATAACAGTAAATATCAGATATGTAGTACTGTAGTAGTACTGATAACAGTAAATATCAGATATGTAGTACTGTAGTAGTACTGATAACAGTAAATATCAGATATGTAGTACTGTAGTAGTACTGATAACAGTAAATATCAGATATGTAGTACTGTAGCAGTACTGATAACAGTAAATATCAGATATGTAGTACTGTAGTAGTACTGATAACAGTAAATATCAGATATGTAGTACTGTAGTAGTACTGATAACAGTAAATATCAGATATGTAGTACTGTAGTAGTACTGATAACAGTAAATATCAGATATGTAGTACTGTAGTAGTACTGATAACAGTAAATATCAGATATGTAGTACTGTAGTAGTACTGATAACAGTAAATATCAGATATGTAGTACTGCAGTAGTACTGATAACAGTAAATATCAGATATGTAGTACTGTAGTAGTACTGATAACAGTAAATATCAGATATGTAGTACTGTAGTAGTACTGATAACAGTAAATATCAGATATGTAGTACTGTAGTAGTACTGATAACAGTAAATATCAGATATGTAGTACTGTAGTAGTACTGATAACAGTAAATATCAGATATGTAATACTGTAGTAGTACTGATAACAGGTAAAGTGACTAGTGACAAAGTTACTAGTGAATTATCAGAAACACTTGTGCAGACTCAGCAGTTCCTGTTACACATTCTCGTTGTACAGTCTGACAGCAGCAGGAAGGAAAGACCTGCGAAACCTCTCCTTCACACATCGAGGGTGAATACTATACTACACACACACACACACATTCTACTACACACACACACTATACTACACACACACACACACTATACTACACACACACACACACATTCTACTACACACACACACTATACTACACACACACACACACTATACTACACACACACACACACACACATTATACTACACACACACACTATACTACACACACACTATACTACACACACACACACACACTATACTACACACACACACACACACTATACTACACACACACACTATACTACACACACACACACACTATACTACACACACACACACACTATACTACACACACACACTTTACCACACACACACACACATTATACTACACACACACACTATACTACACACACACACACTATACTACACACACACACACACTATACTACTACACACACACACACACTATACTACACACACACACACATTATACTACACACACACACTATACTACAAACACACACACACACTATACTACACACACACACACACTATACTACACACACACACACATTATACTACACACACTATACTACATACACACACACACACACACTACAACTACATTACACTAAAACACTTAATACAGAACTTTGTGGACTGGTGTCAGCGGAACCACCTCCTCATCAACGTGAGGAAGACCAAGAAGATGAACCACCTCCTCATCAACGTGAGGAAGACCAAGGAGATGAACCACCTCCTCATCAACGTGAGGAAGACCAAGAAGATGAACCACCTCCTCATCAACGTGAGGAAGACCAAGAAGATGAACCACCTCCTCATCAACGTGAGGAAGACCAAGAAGATGAACCACCTCCTCATCAACGTGAGGAAGACCAAGAAGATGAACCACCTCCTCATCAACGTGAGGAAGACCAAGAAGATGAACCACCTCCTCATCAACGTGAGGAAGACCAAGGAGATGAACCACCTCCTCATCAACGTGAGGAAGACCAAGAAGATGAACCACCTCCTCATCAACGTGAGGAGGACCAAGGAGATGAACCACCTCCTCATCAACGTGAGGAAGACCAAGGAGATGAACCACCTCCTCATCAACGTAAGGAAGACCAAGGAGATGAACCACCTCCTCATCAACGTGAGGAAGACCAAGGAGATGAACCACCTCCTCATCAACGTGAGGAAGACCAAGGAGATGAACCACCTCCTCATCAACGTGAGGAAGACCAAGGAGATGAACCACCTCCTCATCAACGTGAGGAAGACCAAGAAGATGAACCACCTCCTCATCAACGTGAGGAAGACCAAGAAGATGAACCACCTCCTCATCAACGTGAGGAAGACCAAGAAGATGAACCACCTCCTCATCAACGTGAGGAAGACCAAGGAGATGAACCACCTCCTCATCAACGTGAGGAAGACCAAGGAGATGAACCACCTCCTCATCAACGTGAGGAAGACCAAGGAGATGAACCACCTCCTCATCAACGTGAGGAAGACCAAGGAGATGAACCACCTCCTCATCAACGTGAGGAAGACCAAGGAGATGAACCACCTCCTCATCAACGTGAGGAGGACCAAGGAGATGAACCACCTCCTCATCAACGTGAGGAAGACCAAGGAGATGAACCACCTCCTCATCAACGTGAGGAAGACCAAGGAGATGAACCACCTCCTCATCAACGTGAGGAAGACCAAGGAGATGAACCACCTCCTCATCAACGTGAGGAAGACCAAGGAGATGAACCACCTCCTCATCAACGTGAGGAAGACCAAGGAGATGAACCACCTCCTCATCAACGCGGGGAAGACCAAGGAGATGAACCACCTCCTCATCAACGTGAGGAAGACCAAGAAGATGAACCACCTCCTCATCAACGTGAGGAAGACCAAGGAGATGAACCACCTCCTCATCAACGTGAGGAAGACCAAGGAGATGAACCACCTCCTCATCAACGTGGGGAAGACCAAGGAGATGAACCACCTCCTCATCAACGTGGGGAAGACCAAGGAGATGAACCACCTCCTCATCAACGTGAGGAGGACCAAGGAGATGAACCACCTCCTCATCAACGTGAGGAAGACCAAGGAGATGAACCACCTCCTCATCAACGTGAGGAAGACCAAGGAGATGAACCACCTCCTCATCAACGTGAGGAGGACCAAGGAGATGAACCACCTCCTCATCAACGTGAGGAAGACCAAGGAGATGAACCACCTCCTCATCAACGTGAGGAAGACCAAGGAGATGAACCACCTCCTCATCAACGTGAGGAAGACCAAGGAGATGAACCACCTCCTCATCAACAGAAGACCAAGGAGATGAACCACCTCCTCATCAACGTGAGGAAGACCAAGGAGATGAACCACCTCCTCATCAACAGAAGACCAAGGAGATGAACCACCTCCTCATCAACAGAAGACCAAGGAGATGAACCACCTCCTCATCAACGTGAGGAAGACCAAGGAGATGAACCACCTCCTCATCAACGTGAGGAAGACCAAGAAGATGAACCACCTCTTCATCAACGTGAGGAAGACCAAGGAGATGAACCACCTCCTCATCAACGTGAGGAAGACCAAGGAGATGAACCACCTCCTCATCAACGTGAGGAAGACCAAGGAGATGAACCACCTCCTCATCAACGTGAGGAAGACCAAGGAGATGAACCACCTCCTCATCAACGTGAGGAAGACCAAGGAGATGAACCACCTCCTCATCAACGTGAGGAAGACCAAGGAGATGAACCACCTCCTCATCAACATGAGGAAGACCAAGGAGATGAACCACCTCCTCATCAACGTGAGGAAGACCAAGGAGATGAACCACCTCCTCATCAACATGAGGAAGACCAAGGAGATGAACCACCTCCTCATCAACATGAGGAAGACCAAGGAGATGAACCACCTCCTCATCAACGTGAGGAAGACCAAGGAGATTAACCACCTCCTCATCAACGTGAGGAAGACCAAGGAGATGAACCACCTCCTCATCAACGTGAGGAAGACCAAGGAGATGAACCACCTCCTCATCAACGTGAGGAAGACCAAGGAGATGAACCACCTCCTCATCAACGTGAGGAAGACCAAGGAGATGAACCACCTCCTCATCAACGTGAGGAAGACCAAGGAGATGAACCACCTCCTCATCAACGTGAGGAAGACCAAGGAGATGAACCACCTCCTCATCAACGTGAGGAAGACCAAGGAGATGAACCACCTCCTCATCAACGTGAGGAAGACCAAGGAGATGAACCACCTCCTCATAAACGTGAGGAAGACCAAGGAGATGAACCACCTCCTCATCAATGTGAGGAAGACCAAGGAGATGAACCACCTCCTCATCAACATGAGGAAGACCAAGGAGATGAACCACCTCCTCATCAACGTGAGGAAGACCAAGGAGATGAACCACCTCCTCATCAACGTGAGGAAGACCAAGGAGATGAACCACCTCCTCATCAACGTGAGGAAGACCAAGGAGATGAACCACCTCCTCATCAACGTGAGGAAGACCAAGGAGATGGACCACCTCCTCATCAACGTGAGGAAGACCAAGGAGATGAACCACCTCCTCATCAACGTGAGGAAGACCAAGGAGATGAACCACCTCCTCATCAACGTGAGGAAGACCAAGGAGATGAACCACCTCCTCATCAACGTGAGGAAGACCAAGGAGATGAACCACCTCCTCATCAACGTGAGGAAGACCAAGAAGATGAACCACCTCCTCATCAACGTGAGGAAGACCAAGGAGATGAACCACCTCCTCATCAACGTGAGGAAGACCAAGAAGATGAACCACCTCCTCATCAACGTGAGGAAGACCAAGGAGATGAACCACCTCCTCATCAACGCGGGGAAGACCAAGGAGATGAACCACATCCTCATCAACGTGAGGAAGACCAAGGAGATGAACCACCTCCTCATCAACGTGAGGAAGACCAAGGAGATGAACCACCTCCTCATCAACGTGAGGAAGACCAAGGAGATGAACCACCTCCTCATCAACGTGAGGAAGACCAAGGAGATGAACCACCTCCTCATCAACGCGGGGAAGACCAAGGAGATGAACCACCTCCTCATCAACGTGAGGAAGACCAAGAAGATGAACCACCTCCTCATCAACGTGAGGAAGACCAAGGAGATGAACCACCTCCTCATCAACGTGATGAAGACCAAGGAGATGAACCACCTCCTCATCAACGTGAGGAAGACTAAGGAGATGGTGGTGGATTTCCGTAGACGTCACTCTGCCGCTCCAGCTCCAGTGTACATCCAGGGAAAGGACATCGAGAGAGTGGACTCTTACAAGTACCTGAGTGTTCATCTGAACCACAAACTGGACTGGACTCATAACACAGACGGGCCAGAGCCGGCTCTACCTGCTGAGGAGGCTCAGGTCTTTTGGAGTGCAGGGGCCACTCCTGAAGACCTTCTATGACTCTGTGGTGGCATCAGCCATCTTGTACGGTGTGGTCTGCTGGAACAGCAGCATCACAGAGAGGGACAGGAAGAAGCTGGACAAGGTCATCAGGAAGTCCAGCTCAGTCCTGGGCTGTTCCCTGGACACAGTGCAGCAGGTGGGGGACAGGAGGGTCCTGAGTAAACTAACATCTATGCTGGACCATGACTGTCGCCCCCTGCAGGACACTCTCTCTGCTCTGGAGAGCAGCTTCAGTGACAGACTAATTCACCCTCGCTGTGTGAAGGAGAGTCTGACAGCAGCAGTGAGGAAGGACCTAAGTAGGTCCTTCCTCACTGCTGCTGTCAGACTGTACAACGAGAATGTGTAACAGCTGCTGAGTCTGCACAAGTGTCACTGATAGTTCACTATAGTAACTTGTGTACTACTGTATTATTCATATCCATCTGATATTTATGCCTTTCACCGTCACTTTACCTGTTGATATTATTTCTGATATTTATTCTGTTCATATGCATATTCCCATATTCCCATACCATGTGCACTTGTATATTGTAAATAGTAACTGTAACTCTATTTTAAATTTAAATTTATTCTTTAGAAGTGTTTTTTATTCTTATTTTTATTATCTCTTTTTGACTGTTGCACTGAGCCGAAGCAATTTCCAAGTCTGTGACCTCCTGTTACTTATGTGGCAATAAAAATGATTCTGATTCTGATATTCTCCGCTGCTAAAGTACAATAGACATCTGTAAATACTTTTGAACCAAGTGCAATTATAGCTCAGAGTTTATTTTATTTTATTTTATTCTTATCTTAATTTTATTGTCTATTATCTTAAATAATAGACTTTGATGTGTGCAATGTGAGTGCTCTTATTTCCTTTCTCTGCTGTAATGTGCAACGATCCATCCATCCATCCGTTTTCTTCCGCTTTATCCGTTGCCGGGTCGCGGGGGCAGCAGTCTAAGCAGAGACGCCCAGACTCCCCTATCCACAGACACTTCCTCCAGCTCGTCCGGGGGGACTCCAAGGCGTTCCCAGGCCAGCTGAGAGACATAGTCCCTCCAGCGGGTCCTGGGTCTTCCACTGGGCCTCCTCCCGGTGGGACGTGCCCGGAACACCTCCCCAGGGAGGCGTCCAGGAGGCATCCGGAACAGATGCCCGAGCCACCTCAACTGGTTCCTCTCGACGTGGAGAAGCAGCGGCTCTACTCCGAGCTCCTCCCGTGTGACCGAGCTCCTCACCCTATCTCTAAGGGAGCGCCCAGCCACTCTGCGGAGGAAGCTCATTTCGACCGCTTGTATCCGCGATCTCGTTCTTTCGGTCATTACCCAAAGCTCATGACCATAGGTGATCTGCTCTGACTACAGACGCTGCTCCCTCTTTACCACAACGGTCCGATACAGCTCTGACTGCAGACGCTGCTCCCTCTTTACCACAACGGTCCGATACAGCGACCGCATCACTGCACACGCTGCACCGATCCGCCTGTCAATCTCACGCTCCATCCTTCCCTCACTCGTGAACAAGACCCCGAGATACTTGAACTCCTCCACTTGAGGAAGGACCTCTCCACCCACCTGCAGAGGGCAAGGCACCTTTTTCTGGTCGAGCACCATGGCCTCGGATTTGGAGGTGCTGATTCTCATCCCAGCCGCTTCACACTCGGCTGCAAACCGCCCCAGTGCATGTTGTAGGTCCTGGTTCGTTGGAGTCAACAGGACAACATCGTCCGCAAACAGCAGAGATGAAATCCTGTGGTCTCCAAACCGGACCCCCTCCGACCCCTGGCTGCGCCTAGATATTCTGTCCATAAATACAGTGAACAGAACCGGTGACAAAGGGCAGCCCTGTCGGAGGCCAACATTCACCGGGAACAGGTCTGACTTGCTGCCGGCAATGCGAACACAGCTCTGGCTCCGGTCATACAGGGATCGGATGGCCCTCAGCAGAGGACCTCCGACCCCGTACTCCCGGAGAACCCCCCAAAGGACACCCCGGGGAACACGGTCGAACGCCTTCTCCAAATCCACAAAGCACATGTGGACAGGTTGGGCGAACTCCCATGAACCCTCAAGTATCCGATGGAGAGTATAGAGCTGGTCCAGTGTTCCGCGACCGGGACGAAAACCACACTGCTCCTCCTGAATCCGAGATTCGACCATCGGCCGTAGCCTCCTCTCCAGTACCTTGGAGTAGACCTTACCGGGGAGGCTGAGGAGTGTAATCCCACGATAATTGGAACACACCCTTCGTTCCCTCTTCTTGTAGAGAGGGACCACCACCCCGGTCTGCCACTCCATTGGCACTGCCCCCAATCGCCACGCGATGTTGCAGAGACGTGTCAGCCAAGACAGTCCTACAACATCCAGAGACTTTAGATAATCAGGGCGGATCTCATCCACACCCGGAGCCTTGCCACCATGGAGGCTACCAACCACCTTGGTGACCTCAGCCAGGGAGATGGATGTACCCGCCCCAACATCCTCAGCCTCTGCCTCTGTAACAGAGGACGTGACGGGGGGATTGAGGAGAACCTCAAAGTATTCCTTCCACCGCCCGACAATATCCCCCGTCGAGGTCAGCAGCTCTCCACCCGCACCGTACATGGTGTTGGCAAAGAACTGCTTCCCCCTCCTGAGGCGCCGGACGGTTTGCCAGAATCTCTTCGAGGCCGACCGATAGTCATGCTCCATGGACTCTCCGAACTCCTCCCAGTCCCGGGTTTTTGCCTCTGCAACAGCCCGGGCCGCGGCACGCTTGGCCTGCCGGTACTGGACAGCTGCCTCAGGAGTCCCCCGAACATCATGGCTCGATAGGACTCCTTCTTCAGCCTGACAGCATCCCTTACTGCCGGTGTCCACCACCGGGTTCGGGGGTTGCCGCCGGGACCAGCACCAGAGACCTTGCGACCACAGCTACGAGCCGCCGCATCGGCGATTGAGGCAGAGAACATGGTCCACTCGGACTTAATGTCCCCCTCCTCCGCCGGGACCTGGGAGAAACTCTCCCGGAGGTGTGAGTTGAAAGTCCGTCTGACAGGGGGCTCAGCGAGACGTTCCCAGCAAACCCTCACTATACGCTTGGGTCTGCCAGGTCTGACCGGCTTCTTCCCCTGCCAGCGGATCCAACTCACGACCAGGTGATGATCGGTTGACAGCTCCGCCCCTCTCTTTACCCGAGTGTCCGAGACACGCGGTCGAAGGTCAGATGATACGACAACAAAGTCGATCATCGACCTCCGGCCTCAGGTCCTGGTGCCACGTGCACTGGTGGACACCCTTGTGCTCGAACATGGTGTTCGTGATGGACAAACTGTGACTGGCACAGAAGTCCAACAACTGAACACCGCTCGGGTTCAGATCAGGGGGGCCGTTCTTCCCGATCACCCCTCTCCAAGTGTCACTGGCATTTACCACATGGGCGTTGAAGTCCCCCAGGAGAATAACGGAGTCCCCGGGCGGTGCACCGTCCAGTACCCCTCCCAAGGACTCCAAGAAGGTCGGGTACTCTGCACTGCTGTTAGGCCCGTAGGCCGTCACAACAATGAGAGACTTGTCCCCCACCCGGAGGCGGAGGGACGCGACCCTCTCATTCACCGGGGAGAACTCCAACACGTGGCGGCTGAGATGGGGGGCAATGAGAATGGCCACCCCAGCTCGCCGCCTCTCCCCGCGGGAAACTCCAGAAAAGTGGAGCGTCCAACCCCTCTCAAGGAGTTGGGTTCAGAGCCCAAGCTCCCAGGATCATCCGAGTACTCAAACTCCCCCACCACGTTAAGGTGGCAGTCCAGGGGGGAGTTGTCATGTGCAACGATGACACTGACATTTCTCCACTGTGAGACTAATAAAGGTCCTGGGTCTACTGGTCCTGAGTCTTGGGTCTACTGGTGTTGAGTCTTGGGGCTACTGGTGTTGAGTCCTGGGTCTACTGGTGTTGAGTCTTGGGTCTACTGGTGTTGAGTCCTGGGTCTACTGGTGTTGAGTCCTGGGTCTACTGGTGTTGAGTCCTGGGTCTACTGGTGTTGAGTCTTGGGTCTACTGGTGTTGAGTCTTGGGTCTACTGGTGTTGAGTCTTGGGTCTACTGGTGTTGAGTCTTGGGTCTACTGGTGTTGAGTCCTGGGTCTACAGTGAAAAGGCGGTATATAAATAAAGATTACTTACTTACTTACTGGTCCTGGCTCTAATTTTTTTACATAAACATTCAGATTTAAAATATTTCCGTTTCTCAGCCTTTTGGATGGGACACTGGTTTTGTACAGTCACAAGATGGCCGTCGCCGTTTCCGCAGCAACCGGATCCGTGGACTTCCTCTAGACTCATGCTAGTGCGCATGCGTCACTGCGGTGTCAGTTCGATGATTACTTTACTTTGGATTTATTTGGACATTTTTGTTTATATGTACTGAAGTCAATAATTCCCTTTGACTGACGTATCCAAAGTCGATGCAAGAGCGAGACAAGAGATCTTCACGTTTAACATCTGCATTTAATTATCTTTACAATCAGATACAGAATATTCAACAAAAAAAGTGCTCCTAAACTAATATGTCCCTCTCCTGGCCCTCGGCTGACTGACTGCCAATCTCCTCCCAGCAGTTTCTATCAAAGGGTCCGATGACGTCACAGATCTGGGACTGGTCTGGCCCCTGGTCCTGGTCTGGACCCGGTCTTCCATCTCCACCTGAGCAAACAATGCCCCCCACCACTGGGCGCCTGATTGTGTTGGACTTTTGCCCTCGTCGAGAGTGGGAGAGAGCATTTGTTTATTCTTGGAGTCAATAATTGTCTGGTTTTGTAAGCTGGTCATCTCTTATGATTCCTGAGTGCATATTCCTTTGTCTGATGTGCAGCATTTTGTGAATATTCGTCAGTCCCTCTTTTGACCTATATTAACCAATAGGTCACAATCTTTCAATATTCTCTGGGTGACGGGACTGGGGAGATTCCATCATCCTAGTTCTGGCTCGATATCTGTGAAGAGTTAATACAGGAAGACGAACAACACACAACCACATTGAAACATTCCTTCACTAAACTCTTTGATGACCACTGCTGTCATTCTGATTCTTCTTCAACCTCGTCTGTAATGTATGCACTAAAACTATTCACTATAGTTTAAACTATTCTAATCTATTTACCAATATGTTTGCATCTTTGCTTTTATTGAGCCATATTCTTAAACATATGTTTTTATCTAATAAATCTATCTATACTGTGGTTTGCTGTCATTATCAGTGGCTCTGTCCCATTTTGTGGGGCTTTGCTCATTTTTCCAAACACATTTTGTTGAACCAGGAAGTGCTGTCACTTCCTTCTCTCAGACCGTTTGGGATAAATGTACATCGTTAATCAAATTGGTATTATCCTTACAAGAGCTAATCTCTTTTAGCAGGTTTCTCTGGGGTTAGTCCCTATACAACGGTATTTTGATTCTCTAATCTATTGCTGACAAATCGACAGCTCTTAAAATTCTCAAAACTACCTAAAGATCTACTTTTGTGCTATACCCAAATTCATTAAAATGCTTTCAAATGTTTTTGAATCTGTGTTGGTTCTAATCGATCTCATTAATCTATCTCATTAGTCTATCTCATTAACTTTTGCATTGTTACCATTCACCTATGTTTGAAACAAGCGAATTTGACAGTATCTAATAAAACTGTGCATAAACTGTAATGAACTTTATCTACCTTTGAAGTAAATACTTTTAGACATAATATGAAGGAAATGGTCCTTTTACCGTTTGATATTAGCCCTGTCTAAAAATAATCTCTATTTTTGAAAGCATCTATCTATTTTACACTCTATTGTGACTCCAAATCTTGGTTGTAGTTTGAGCCAAAGCATATTCCCAATTTTTGAGTTCTGATTGTAACAATAGCATTGGCAATAGACGATTTTTTATTGGCCGGTTCTTGTTCTGCAAATCACTATTCTATGTATTGTATTTCAGACAATTCCAAAAACAACACAGTCGTTCTCCAATATTAAAGACATACATCTAAATCAAGTTGCCTGAAAGGGATTTTAACTATTTTAAAACGTTCTCTACGATTATAAGGCTATGAAATTAATTATTTAATAAACAAAAGCACATTCATGGCTTCTGTCCACTGCTTATAACTGTTTAAAGAGTTGTCCCAAACTTAATATGTGTAAATACATCAGCTGTTTGTAATAAACAATAACATTTGACCTGTTCTCCAATGGAGCAGCTCAGAGGCTGCGTCAAGAGCAATGTTATATTTGAGCTATTTTTAGATTTAAAATTGTGTTAAAGCCTGTCGTTCTATGTCTGCATTTTAATACTACTCTCTATAAACACATCTGCACTAATTCCTACAGATGTGGAAAACAGAAAACATCTAAAATCTGACTCCATTTGATTCCTTTTTACTTTAGTTATTAGAACAATTTGACCTTATTGATACTTATTTCCACAATAGAACTATTTTGATTATTCACTAGTCTAACTATTATTACTATTGTTTATTCTGACACTTCAACCTATAGCTCCTCGAATCCAATGACATTATAGCTCCAGACTATTTCATTCTATTCTATTATTATCTTATTATTATATGATCTATTATCTTAAAGAGTAGATCTGTTTGATGTTATAAGCGCTATTATTTCTCCTTTTGAATTTGCACAACACTAAATTTAGAATGACCCCCTATGGGACAAATATAGAATTTTATTTCATTTTGGCAACTCCGAAAATTACTTAATAATTTTCCCATTTTGCTTTTTTTAGGCTGCCCTTTTCTATTATGTATTTGGTCTTGTAAATATATGTTTTACACTTCTTTCTAATGATTTAGAAGGTTAAGGACCATGACCACCTATGACAATAACATTACCATACTCCCTCTGTTGGTCATGGGCCAAGTATAAAACATGCATCTGTGTGTGTGTAGATTACTGTTCCAATCATTCTTCAGTTGTTCCTCCCGGATCGTCCTCAATTCATATTGTGGGCTTTGGTGCCAAAGTAGAGGCTCATTTTCCTCATGATCCATACTACTGTGTTATCCCTGAAGCAGGTGCAGTTTATCTTTCATCTGAAAAACAAACATTAGAACACAAGAAACGCCCACTTTCCTCTCTTCGCATGGTGCGGCCTGTCAATCAATCCAATTGGGCAAAACATAACTGCATTGACAGACGGTGTGTGGCATCAGGGCAGAGGCTGTAGCCAAATACAGACTTAACAAAATGTATGTTTCTAATTTTATACTCCCCTAAATGTGAGTTACAAACCAAAGTTGTCCTCCTCCCAATGACCGCTCACTGCGGTTGGACCGAATCACTGTCAGGACAAACAGCAGAGGGAGGGACTCCCAGTACCTTCAGCAAGGTATTCATCTCAGAGTACTTTCCGCAGAGTACTTTTCTCAGAGTACTCATCCCAGAGTACTCTCACTTTTACACCTGTTCAATAAAGCTTGTCATCTTTGAATCTCTAGTACTTACACCGTATGCTGTTGACAAAAAATAATTATTCCATGATCACATTAAAACATTACAGAAAACTTTTGTTATTCCATGATTCCGTTCAGCACTCCTCGTTCACTCCACAACACACTCACAACACCCCACGTTAGTATTGGTCCAGTTTGTTAAGGTCAACGTAGTGTATTTGACATGACGCACAAACATATAACATACACAAACATATAACATACACAAACATATAACATACACAAACATATAACATACACAAGAGGCCTGTAATTTTAACTTTGTTATATTTTTCCATGTCCAATTACAATTGTCTCATGAGCTATTTTATAGTTGCAACTTTCAGAGCCTGCAGAACATGCAAAGCTTTGAGAGATTTTTCCTAAAAGGATCCATTTCAAACTTTAGTGTTTAAACCACGTGGTCTTTACTCGGGCTTGTCACAAACTGTGTCCCCTATATTTTTAATGAGCTCTTGTTACTTAACAAAAAAACTCATGCACGTGCAATAAATGTTTTTCCCTTTTTTTTTTAAAGCCAGTTCGGATTCCTTAAAAAATGTAAATTAGTTTCAAACTTTAATACTTCACCCTTGTTTTACGTTCATGTGGAGAAAAGACCATTGTCCTATGTGTGTTGTTGTACTTGCACCAATCATGTCTCAGATAAACTGCCAACAGTTATATCAAAGACATAATTGTCCTAATTGTTTCTAATTTAGCTATTTGGAAGAGAAACATGTCATAAAAGATTTCAAAAATGTCCCTACATCTTTGTTTTCAACCAATGAACAGTGTTGCATCTATGTGTTATCAGAAATGATCCAATATCACCTTTAGCCAAAATTCAGAAATGCTTTAAATCATTTTTCAAACTTTAATTGTCTGAACAAACCATTTTGTACTAAATGCAGCGTCCATTAAAAGCTGCAGTTCTCTTTCCAGCACCAGTTTCAACTGTGCATGTGATTGTTTTTAAATGATTAACGAGCCACGGTTCAGAGGTTGAAAACACTGCTTTAAATATCCGTATTACCAAGATCATGCAGTTAAAATCAATAATTCTAAACTTCTCCGCGTCTATAACTTTAAATAATACTAGTTTCAATAATAGTGCTCCTCTACCTTAAATATACTGCTGTTCTAATCTCCTTGTGTCTCATGCTAAAGCAAGAGTCTAATTAATTTTAACGATTGTCCTGTATTCTTTCATGCAGCTAAATGTGGTGTTATGAACGAATGACCTAAATATGTAAATATGACTTAATATGTCTCTGTGCGTTTGTTGCCTGTCTGTATATTTACCTTCTGTGTGTCTCTCATTTAGGCCAGCCACGTCTCA